ATTAAAGTCCACCTCAGCTACTTTTAGAAGCTGTATTACCCATGCACTCTGCCTGAGCATGTTTGTCCTTACACCACACACTGAATGACCTAACAGCAAGCAGACAGAGTGGGAGCCAGCAGCATGTGCAATGAAACACTATTGGTTTAGTGAATGAGGGGAAGTGGTTCTTACCCGGGTCTTTCTGGATGAACTTGTATATGTGGATCCTGCTGCCTGTGCTCCCTGCGTCGAACATGATCCCGTAGAAATTAAAGTCCACCTCAGCTACTTTTAGAAGCGTATTACCCATGCACTCTGCCTGAGCATTTTCCTTACACCACACACTGAATGACCTAACAGCAAGCAGACAGAGTGGGAGCCAGCAGCATGTGCAATGAAACACTATTGGTTTAGTGAATGAGGGGAAGTGGTTCTTACCCGGGTCTTTCTGGATGAACTTGTATATGTGGATCCTGCTGCCTGTGCTCCCTGCGTCGAACATGATCCCGTAGAAAACGCGGCTCATGTTGACGGGGGAGGAGGCTCCTGCCACCAGCTCTTGAACCTCAGGCGTTTGGTAAGGCTCAGGTGCAGGGTGCACCACCTCAGGCACCGGGTTGAAAGCCTCCGGGATGGGGTGGATGACTTCGGGTACCGGGTGGAACACCTCGGGGATCTCGGGGTAAGTCGGCACGCGTGGTTGCGTCACTTCAGGCGCCGGGTTGGAGACCTCTGGGAGGAGGTTTTCCGTGTTGGCCGAGTGCTCCCTGTAGCGATAGAAGTGGGGGACGTAGCGGTGGTGCCGGTAGTAAGTCGCCTCCGTTAAGAGGCTCTCAGCAAGGAGCCACACGGTGAAAGTAAGGATCAGGCTCGGCGCGGCCATTGTTCTCCAGAAGAAGAGACAACTGGAGTGTCAAAAAAAGAAGGAAAGAAAAAAAAAAGTTGAGAAGGAGAAGAAGCCTCGGTGGATGCTGGAGTAAACGATTGACAGGGTGAGAGCAGGGGAGATGAAGAGAGGCAGAGTGGATGCGATGCACACTCAGGACTGTCCGGTCATCTGTTTGCAGTATATAAAGACATAAGGGCTTGGCATGAGGCCACATCAGGAGCAGACATCCACCAATCCTGTGACAGTCCATCCCAGCTCCATCAGGAGTTCCCCCCACCTCCTGGGAGCTGGGCTAGAGGCTGAATACCTGCCTACCAACTGCATTTTCTTTTTTCCCTTCCCTTTTCAGGGAAAAGGACTATTTTGGGTTATGTTTTTCCCCTCCTCATCTTTACTGGTTATTCTGGAGCCAAAAAAAAAAAAAAAAATCCCCCAAAGGAAAGGAGAAAGGGGTTTTTAAAGAAGTCAAATGAATGGTTCACACTTAAAATGAAACTCAAGAAAAGGTCTTAAAATACTTTTATGGGTGAATTTAAGACTTGTGCAAAATCCTTCATCCTGCAACTCGTTTCACAACAGCATAAATCAAGAGCAAGTTTCAATCGGCTGCTGTACCTTCAGAGTTATATACATCAGCTTAAATGTTAAGATTTTCCAGTGTTTGCGCTGGAATTAACCTTAACAACGTGGGTTTCTTGTGTCTTGCTTAATTTAAAATACCTCAGGTTTATGAGGGAGACATTCATTTAACACAAGACTCAAACTCCTTGTTCAGACTGAAAATGTGACTCATTGTGTACCGTATGTGGTTGTTTTATTTCTACATCTACAAAATCATGTTCAGTGTCTGGAATTAATCATACATACACAAAGATAATTGTAATCTCATACTAATGCTCCTACAATATTCTCCAAATTAAATCCTCTGCAGATCTCACCAACCTTCTAAATTGCAAATGTGACCTGCATCCAGCTGGCATAAAAGTTAAAAGAATGTTTGCAATCATCTTACTCCCACTCATCCCTGTGTTAACCGCAGCCTTTCCAAATGAAAAATATTTGGGCAGCATGGCACGTTTCACCAGAGAATGCATGAAAAGCATGAGTGGCTTTTTCTCAGTTTAACTCAGAGACCTTGCATGAACTGAGATTTGTACTTTGCTGTGATATTTTCCACCCACTTTGTATCAACAGAAAATAGGGACAGTTCTGAAACAGCAGGCGCTGGTAGTCTAGCAATGGAGGCATCCCTTGAGGACTGACCCTGCAAAGACCCCAACTTAACATGTGCTTAAATGTGAGCCTGTCTCACCTCATGCAGCAGGCAGGAGATGCAGAAACCGAGCCAGCCCAGTCAGAAGGGTAAGGAGGGGGGGGGGGGGCTGAGGTCCTGCAGATGGGCACGAGCGAGTGCAGGAAGTCAACTGAGAGGACAATGTGGGGAGGGTGGGGCTTGGCACCAATGTTCACCCATCATGCCATTCCACTCCCAGGACACTCAACTGTGCAAAGCACTGTTCCAACACTGTAATTTAGACTAAAAATATTGGACTTTCTTTCCTCCTTCCTTTTTTCTAAATACTGTGGCTACTTTTTTCAAATCCTGTGGTTAACCAGAATGGTCGTTCGCCCCTATCAAAGCGTACATGTGCAGGACCTCTCACTGACTTGTGCCTGTATAGATGCCTTGGTCACTGGTTAACAGTGTGATAAGGTGAGTGCTAAGCCCTGAATAAAAATGTCTTAAAATACAAGATCGTACACGAGAAGTCATGTTTTGTCTGCTAGGGGGTTTTACTTTATAAATCATTCTTGTCTGTTTTCTGACTACCCTAAGTTCAATGACTTTTATCGACGTTTACCTAACTCATGTAATTAAATCACTGTTTGTTTATTTGTTTATATATATTAATACACTTTAAGTATGTCTTATTTTACTTACAATCAGATCTTTTTAATGCTCCTAATGTTCTGTTTTGAATATGAATATTGAATATTTAAAGCACTTTGAATTGCTCTATGTGTGAATGATGCTTCATATCATTACTTAATTGCCTTGCCCTCTGACTGGAAATGTTAATAAAAAATCATGAAGGTAATGGATGAATGAATGAAGCAATAATCCACCTTTAAACTAACTGTAATGCATGTTTCAGTTTTAAAGACACACAGTCTACTTCTTATGTTTGATGCAAAGGAACCGTTAAAGTTAAATGTAAAAAGTCAGATTACTCAACAGGTGTTTTGAAAATTGACTTTTGAATTGAATTCAAAATAAATCTTCTGGAAAGTCTGCATGCTGCAAAATCATGTCATGTAAAACATGCATGGCTGAAACATTGTATTTAAAGGTCGTCTCTACAGCATGACACAGCACTGTCAACACAATGTTTTAAAGAGAGGTACTTTTGGTATTTTGTTTCAAGTTAACTGAAACCGTAAAGCATGAGAAGAGACCCCAGCTTTATAATCTACACTGCACAATATATCATTAATATGCTGCAATGTGGCCCTCAGGAATGTCATGTTTGTGGGTGTCCTACCCCAGAAAGTCTATTGAAGAGACCCAAACCTTGTCATTACAATTCCAATGATAATGACAGCTTTGAAAAGCTAAGGGTTATTTCAGTTTTCTCCTTTCACTGTCATAGTAATTACCTTTAAATTTAGTCTTCAAACTCTGTTCATGATGGCAGAGCAGAGAGCGACCCTATATGTTTCAGTTAACAGTAGCTACACCCAACACTTTTGCAATATCTCCTTTTTTTTGTTTGACGAATAATCTGCACTGGACACACTCCAGCTCCTGCAGAAAACTAAACAAGATAAGGAGGAGAATTCAGTGGTTTTGAGCCTGAATTATGACCTATGCTAACTCTACATTGTCTCTTTTTGATGAGCTCCTTCGAAGATGTAAGCCAAAGTGCATTTTCATTGACCTTAGTGGTTTTATAATTACAAGACAAGTGACAAATACAGCCAATCTGTGTCAGTCCAGAGCCTGTTGAACAGAACACACATGTATAGCAATTTGTCTTAAACAATGATTGGTTGATGATTGATTAAACCTGTGTTTATACAAGAGGTACACAAAGGCTACTGTGTAGATGTAATTATATAAAAACTTAAAATGCAAAACAAAGTTCAAAGCAATACTTTTTATCAGCAAGTTAATTATTGAAACAAATTTGATCATCTTGGTGTTTCGAGGCCAGCGTTATTCTGAAGGTAATTTGTTGGTTTTCTGAGGTTATATTGACTTATCAATAAAAGAAAATTGAAAGACTTCGTCAACAACCTTTAATAATTGATTGATTGTTACTGGATTATTACATGATTTGCCGGCTCTATTTCTGAAATGCACAGCTGTTGGTTGTGGATTTTGGGAACAAACAATCATCACTTTGTTTTTTTTTTGACAATTTTTTTGACATTACTATGCAGCATATAAATTAGGAGGTGCATTCTTCACCATTTTGCCTATTTAACAGTCTGAAAACACAAGCCCTAGTTATAACTTAAATAACGAGACATAGCTGCAGTCTAAACCCTAACATTTGTAAATAGGCTAATGCAGTCTAAAAAGATAAAAAAAAATAGTATATAGGCCTATCAAACCTATTTGTTAGACTATAGCCTATAGACTACAGTGCATACCGAACTTTTCTCTATTTTGTTGCATAATAGGCTATAACCTGCTCATCTTAAAATAGGCTTTGATTATTAATATTTATAAAGCAGCCTATCTATCTATCTATCTATCTATCTCAGTTAAGGCACATTTATTAGGCTTTTCTTGTGCTTTTCTTTTGTAATACAGCCGAATGTGTTGTCATGCGTTGCCTTTCAAAAATAAAAGTTGAATCTGGTTTTGTTTTGTGTCGCCTATCAGATATTTATTTATTATTTATTATCCTATGTAAAACGAACGGTCACGTTACGTAGCAAGGAAATTTGACCTTTCCTGTGTGACAGTGTCTCCATAGCAACAACACCACACAAACATTCAATGTTGGGACTACAGATAGCCGAACTGAAACTGGTGTAATCAAGCCTACCGAACAACTTCACCTTGTAGGGAGCACGGTGTTGTTTTTGTGTCGCAATTTAGCCTGAAAAAGTTCCAGTCATGCCGAAGAAGAAAGTCGCCAAAGTAAAGAGGGTCAAGGCCGGGTAAGTGCGCATAGTCCTGGGCTTACATTTGGCGTGTGCATTGACTTAAAAGTGTACAGTCGAACACGTTTTTTGTTTGTTTGTTTTTTTAAAAACGTATTTTCCCGACAGGAAAGGGAAAAAAGAAGCAAAACAGGAGTCAAAAGCGGATAAAGAGTCAGATGTGGAGAAGGCCAGGGCGAACGCTGCCCTCTGGGAGCTGAGGCTGCAGGTCACCGACCAGTCGCTCGTGCAGTACCGCGAGGCTTGCCGCAAGTTGGCATGCGCAAATGAAGAGCTCACCAACCAAATGTTCCGCGCGGAGAAGGACACAATCGACATGACTGGCTTTCTTAAGAGACAAGATGCAGCCAAAGAGGAGAGGGTACGGAGGGTTACAACAAGTTTGCATGAATTATTTGATAAACACAATCAGTGCTGAACCATTTCAATTAAGGTTCTCCATTCTGACAGATTCATGTGCTGCAGAAGAGCCTCAAAAGCCAAAAGTTACTCGCCCGTGAAGAGCAAAACAAACTGGTGAGTTCATTTAAAAACACAGCGACAAGAAAAGAAATGCAACTTCCATCCAGGACATAAAACATGGTTCATAGTAAGGCTATGGCCATTGGCTGTGATTTATCATGCGCAGCTCAAACCTGCATCTGAAAAATGTGCTGCGCTGTGTCTTAGCAGCTGTCTTGTGTGTAATTATGTTGACATTTATTATGCAAGAAAACAACAAGCAAACAAAGCGACCATAAAACAAAAAAACAAACCCTCACATTCCGAGTTACATGGTTTAATGTTATTTTAATCTATGTCGGTGGCCACAGGAGAAATGCGTAGCCTAATTTGAAAGTGCTTGGCCGGGAAAAGTCACACTGCTGGTCTTGATGTGTTAACCATACTTCACTTGTCACACAGATTCTTACTTTAAAATACCAGTTTAAGTTACATAACACTGTACCCACCAAAAGGGACTTATTTTGACTCCTTTTATCCTCACTGACCTCTGCTCTTCATTGTTAAGATCAAGCTATCAAACTGACATGACAAAATTCAAGTGGCTTTACTGGACAAAATAAAAGGTATAAAAAAAACTTCTGCTTCTTTTGCTAGCAGCTGTTTTCCATCTTCCAGCTCTTACTTCATGCTGGTAAACTGGAGTCCAATAAGAGGAGGAAAATAGAGGCATGGTCTGGACAAGCTTGAAACATCTCTATTTTAGACAACTGTCGCATAGGTCCAGTCACTGAGAAAAAAAAATACTGTTTTGTGGTTGACTCTTAAGATGTGACTTCAAGAAGTCCTCATTCTCATTCTAAAAATTAAATTAGCTAATGGAAACAGCCCCATTAAAGGCGCTGAATGCCCTGTTTTTTTCTCAAAAGAAAGAAATGATGAAATCATGATGAAAGTGTCAAGAAACTCAGTCTTTCAAATCATTACTCAGTAAAGGCTTTCCAGACTGCAGTTTCTGCACAGCTTGAGCAAAAAGCCATGTTCACACACAATTTTTGATATATTTTTAAAAAGCTAGATTTTTGTCAGATCACACAGATTGAAAGAAATATGGCTGATTGGTCCATTGATGTAGACAGAGTTATGTGAAGAATAACGATTAGGCCTTAAGTTGTAATCAGATGGTCGATAACCTCTCATTTAGTCGTCATGTATATGTTTGTGGGTGCTTGTTTTGCCAGTCTCTCATGACTTTGGTCATTTTGTCACATTTTTGCCCTGACTGGCTTCTCCACAGTAGCATCTTGAGGTATTTAGCCTGACTGATCTGTGCTTAAGTTGGTTTTGCAGAAGAGCATGGCCCGTGTGAACTCTGCTATAAAAATCCCCAACTTATACAAGTCGCAGTTATGGGAACTTTGTTGCATCTATATAGATGGGTGGAGGCATTCAAACACTTAAGGCATTTATTAAATATGTAAAATGTTTTTCATCCTATGCATCTAAATATACGATTGGTTTTGACAGGCGGACGATTACACACTTCAAATCAATGCCATGAAGGATCTGTTCAAAAAGAAGTCCAGCGATTTTGACATGATCCAGGATGGGATGAGGAAAATTAAGGAGTTTAAGAAGACAAAATTCCATATGGAGCAGGAGCTCAGTGATGTGAGGGGGGAAAAAAACACAATACAAAAGGGTCCCGATTAGAAAGTGGTTGTTTTTTTCAGTCAACCAATGTTCTTTCTGTAGGTCAGAGAATGCATGGATGCAGCTGAAAAGGAGCACAGGGAAAACTTGAACGGAATGGAGTGCAAATTCTTAAAAGAAAAGGTTTGTTTTAACAATCACCTAAAAACCAGTTAGTGGTTGATATTGTCCCTGTGAAACATCAAGTGAGTTTTGAAATGTGTTTGCACTGCAGGCTCAGCTGGAGAGTGAAGCTGAGAAAAGGATAGCTGCGGTAGTGAAGGAGGCCCACAATCAAGCCATTGCGTGAGCGTGTTTCGCTTTCCCTTTTTTAATCTTATTTTACTCTTTAGTCTTTAAACTCCACTTGGATGTGCTCAGAATAAGAAAAGAAAAGAAAAATCTTTTTGCATACATACACACTACATTATACATATGTATATATAATGTAAATACTCACTCACACACACACACACACACACTCACACCACTGGTGTACATCAGCAAAGCCAACAGTCATCTTCATTGGCTCAAGAAGAGTGGGTAATGTATGCGTGGAAAGCCACAGTTTATTACCTTTGATGTACATTTCTGCTGGGTTTATTTTTGCAGATCGTAAAACTTTACAGTTTGAACTTGGGTGATCATGCAGGTGTAGTCGTGGCATCAGTAGTTTATTGAATTTAAAACCAACTCAGCTTGTCTTTAAATGCCAAGTACTCTGACCAAGGTAATTGAAATTTCTGTGTGTTAACCAAGAAACTTTAGATTGGCTCTACATAATCTGAACTAAATCTCCTCACATGCAAAACCTTTAACCTGTTGAATCATAGAAAACCTCAGCTATCAAAAAGCCTTGTTTTCTATTTGTAAGACTCAATGTAGGTTTGAATAATAATTTCTGTTTGTTTTGTAAACTATTTAGGCAGTTGGACGACTCCTTGCGGTCTGTGTTCAGGGAGAACATCCGTCTGAATGAATCGCTGAAGTATCACATAAAGGAGGCAGATGAGCTTCAGAAAGTGACAAGTTCATTGGCAAAGGAAAATGCATCCCTGGAACTGGACAAGGTGTGTTTGAACCATCAGACAGCAAACAGCCATGTTACTATGAGGCACCGGGACTGCTTGGATAGACGCCATTCATCACCTTTCAATCACTTCACTTATGGAGCACTTGTCAGATCTGCTTAGAATATATTTCAGGTGGATTTTCCCCTTGTGTTGTTTACTTGTGCTGACCCTGTGTATTTTGCTTGTGGCCTTACTCCCCTCCAACTCCTGCCTACTACCCAGCCTCTCAGTGGTCAGTGGTTGTGGTGAGTTTCCACCGGTGGATAGGTTCAAATTTAGTGGCTTCTTCTTCACAGGTTTCTGGCACCAACTCTCCAAGACAAATAAATATTGGGCGCATTAATCTTACCTGTGATGATGACAGTAAATACAGAGAGTAAATCCACCTTGTTGAAGCTTTGGCCGCTCACTCAGCAGCGCAGCAGCCAGCATACAAACCATTATCTGTTTCAGCTCTGCATTGGCATGAAATTGAAATATTTTCCAATGTTAGCTAAATGTCATCCGTTTTAACACTTTGCTCTTCTGTTAACTTACGCAGAACACATTTGAGTTGATTGTAAAGAAGAATGCTGCTCAGATGGAGGCCCAGAAAGAAGAGCTATCTCACCTTAAGGCCAAGGTGGTGTCATTGGAGAAGGCCCTCGAGGTAAAAGTGGGGGAATCACAGCGAGAGATTGAGAAGGAGAAAGAGAAGACCCTAGTAATGACCCAGGCCAGCCAGGTAGATTTGGTGAAGCTGCAAAAAGTGCTGAACATGCGAGAAGGGGAATTGCAGCACATCAAGAAGCTAGCAGGCACCATTGTGGAACAGCGTACAGAGCTGGAGCAGTTCTTCCACGAGGCCTTGGCCCAAGTGAAGCAGGAGATAATGGCCAGCAGGCTGCAGTACAAAAAGGAGGCGCTGCAGGCTTATCACCGGAGGCTGAGAGAAGCTACAGCCGGAAAGCTTCGGTTCCCACCCATCCGCACCTTTCATAAAATCCCCCACAGTACCAACTCTGTGCATTCAGACATGGAGGCAGCTTCACAGTGGTAGGGCCACTTCCCATCATTTCCTTGACTTCTACAACAGTTTGTCTGTTTTTAATTCCTCATATTTATCAGAGCAGAGTAACTTTCAGCTCAATCAGAGGTCCTCAAACCTTACACTCTGTGGTTCATCTTAGTGCAGACTATATATGGAAAAGAAAACAGTTAAGGTCAAATTGACTTTGGTTTCATTTTGCCTTTTTTTACAGGACTCATCAGCCAGGCAGCAAGGTTGAAATCTCAGATCTCACCTGGGAGCAGAAGGAACACATTCTCAGACTTCTCTTTGCTAAGATGAATGGACAGACTGTAAGGTAATACAACTTCCAAACTACTATCTTGTATTTGTTTCAGGAAAAGTCTTGCTGGTTGCTTTTTATCTCAAATATTCCTGTACAGTACACTTGTAATCCTCGAAAAATAAACAGAAAAATCTGAATGTTTTAACCTCTGAAGAACAAGCTGAAGTGACCCAAGCAGTAGTTCACGACTCCTCCCTCTTTTTAATGTTTTAAACAGCCATTTTCTCAGAAGAAGAGGATACCATAAAACATCACTTAGGCTTCAACCAATTTTCTTTTCCATCCAGCTGCTTAAAGAGAATGAAGAAAGAGTCTGGGCACAATAGTAAAAATAGGCCCAGCCACAAAGTCGTGTGCTTGGAAACAAACATATGGTCACGTCGATTTGCTTTCAGCCGATTGGCCCCTCTTCACGTGCACTAGCTGTTTATTTTTTTTCTTTGAACACTTGTGGTCAAAGAGCAGCTGGTAACATGATTTTCAGGAAGGAGTGCGCAGGGGATCTGGATGTATGGGGGTATGGCAGGCAGCGATGTATATTCATGTTTTCAGTGGTCTGGCACCTAGTCCTGCAGAATAACAGAGAACATTTGGCGACTCCAGAGTCCGTTAGCAACATTGAAGTCGATGTGAATCGTGCTGACCTAGGGTGGCCCCCTCTATCCAAGACAGGCTGCAGGCCCGAGTGAATAGACACCTATGTGCTAAAACATGGCTTTGCACTTCGAGGTTCTATGTTTAACTGCAAGTCTGCATTTTCTGTGATAGGAAAGTTAACCAACATCTGGCTTTGTCTGCCTCCTCTGAGAAGAGCCTCATCGACAGCCATGCTGCCAGGTAAGAAACTCAAGGAATGTAGGAGAATAAAAGTTTACCTAATCTTTGCAATTAAGAGGCCTGTGCAGATTTATTGGTCCCACATTTCATGTTTAGCTTAGAAAGCATCGGCTGTGTGAACATAAGTGCCAACATGTGATTTATCAAGACAGCTGCATCTTAGCGTTGCATAATGATGACTGTCTTTCAGAATTAAAGAGGAGCCATCTCGAGCGACCTTCATCACAGACGCGCCTGAACCCGCTCTCCCCCCAAACCCAAACAGCCTACCGGATATACGCACCACATGACCTCTGATTGGCCTCTGTAGTGCACATCAAAGTGCTTCTCACAGTGTGGCAATCATGTGTGCTTTTGGACACAAAAGTCTGTTTGTGCTTGTTATAAATATCCTACCATGCATGTTTATACAGTGTGAGTATTCTGTTTCATATATGATGTGTGTTTTAATCTATTTCTAGGATATGTTTCCTCAAGAAAAAAAACTGCTTTCTCCCCACAAAGATCTGGTACCAAATTATGCCCCAGAGAATATACAAAATCTGTAAACAATCAGTGGATGCTGGCTCAGTGGAATACCATGCAGTGTATTCATAGTATCCATTATTTATGAAGTTTATACACACTACACTGTTCAACACAAGAGTTTAAATACTGGTGTTGTATTGGAGATGATGACATTGATAAAAAACATCGCCTCAGCTGTACATCTTCTTTGTATAGTTATTGGCAACAGTGGTTGTATTTAGAAAGTATCTTCACATAAAAGTATTTAAAAACTTTCAGTCATAAAATATTCACATTGAACTTATTAGTCTGTTTTATATACTGTATGTGGAAGAAGCGTGTCGTCTGTCTAATTAAGACTTCACAAATGCACTTGTGGAGTATTTAGCGTCCCATAGTTGGCATGGTAACTGCAGGACTTTTCAAAGTGGCGTCCTCTGCCTTCCACTGCGAGGTTACAGTTTTGATCTGTGTGTAGAAGTTGATACCCTGGAGAGAAAACAAAAACATGTCCATCAAAACCAAACACTGCCACATGTACTATACATTATTCTTACACCTGGAACGTTAAGATGCTTTTGTTGGGGTCGTACTTGTTTTCCATAGAAGTTCATGTCCCCTCTGAAGGATCCTCTTGATCCAGTGAAAGAGAACATGGGCAGTGGCACCGGGATGGGAACATTGACTCCCACCTGCAGAAACAAGTATTTATCCTTTAATTTCACAGAACTGTGAGCTTTGAAAACTAATTCCTCCAGATGTTGAAGTGCTATGATGCAGATGAGAGAAGTGGTATATCTGTGTTCTTTAAAAATCAAGCTTACAAGATGGCACTAAACAAAGCTAAACCTGGCTTATAATAAAGCACAGCATGCTCTTACTGAAGGCGTGAAAAAACTAAATAAAACATTTTGTTATGAAAGCAGTAGAGGCTTGGCATGGTTGGTTTTAAATGTTTGAAACAGCCGGAATAGGTTTGGAACACTAAGGCCTTTTGGCGAAGGTGCAGGGAGGAGAAAAAAAAAGGAAAAGTAGATGTTTGTTGCATCGAGGTTTGGAGAGGAGTACAGCACATGGCCTGCACAGCATTCCCCGACATGTGAACAGCAAACACAGGGCATAACTTGGGATCCAAAGGCAAACAAACAGGGTAAAAGCTGGCCATGTTTACGCTAAGATAATGAACAGGACCCTAGGAATCCCTTTTTGAGCTTAATTTAAGATTTCCCTCTTCGAGTACTACCCGGAAAAATGTTTCTATGTCCCTCTGTTTTCAGTAAAGACTCATATTTGTTATTGCTATTTGTAGGAGGGAAAGGGGTTTCTGAAGGTGTTTATTTTAGGTTTCGGGCAAACAAGTCTATACCTGACATGGAAAATAATTGTTTTGTTTTTTAATGCGTGAAGGTTTTACAAACAGAAAAGCGATGAGCCTCCAGCTTGAGATGCTGTATAGACATGACAGACTGATGTGAATGTCTCCTTTCTCTAAAAACTGAGGAACACATTTGGAGGCTGCAGCCACTCACCTGGCCCACGTCCACCTCGTGAGTGTATTTGCGTGCAGTGGCACCATTTGTGGTGAAGATAGCTGTTCCGTTGCCATAGGCGTTCTTGTTGACCATATTGATGGCATCTTCCAGAGTATCTGCCTCGAGGACGACCAACACGGGACCAAAGATCTCCTCAGTGTAGCACTTCATGCCAGGCTGTGGAGCACAAAAAAAAATCAACACTTTTACTGTTACGTTTTCAAAAAGGTACTCGGAAGGTAAATACACCAGATGATTCTAAACCTACGTACTGTGACATTGCTGATGATGGTGGGACCCACAAAGTTGCCGTTCTCATAACCCTTGACGTTAACACTTCTGCCATCCAGAAGAAGCTGGGCTCCCTCGTCCACACCACTTTGGATTAGGCTGCACACTCTCTCCTTGGCCTGCGGAGAAATCAGGGGCCCCACGTCTGCTCCAGCCTGGTCTCCTAGCAGGGCCCCAAAAACAACCAGCTATAAGGTTACATAGCATGGCATTCGCATGATGTGAGCACATTACGGGGCACTGACATTCAAATATGTCTTTTTCCACAAACACGCAAAAGCCAGGACGAGGGGCACCTACAGGCACACCCTCAAAAATGGATACTTATGGGTTTCCTGTGTATGACACAAATTAGAGTGGCATCATGGCAAACAGGGAAAATCCTTCTTAATCTTACTCTACACCATCCTTTTTCTGAAAAGGTTTTGATGCTCTGAACCGCTGTTTAGGTCTGAGCCGCAGATCTGGCCACAAATTTGCAGCATGGCTGACTCAACCGGCCGTCTCTCCCAGCTGACTCCAGCACAGCACAGAGTTACAACAGCGCAGAAGGCGAGAGGTGTGGTTAAGGCGGCGTGGGTGGCCACAGCGATGACTAAACCGAAGGCCCTCGGGGGAAGAGAGGCTCAGGAGAGAGGTGAAGGGTGGAGTGACGGGGTGCGGTACCTGCGTTCACTCGTAGGGCCTTGGCTCGCTCCACCAGGTCCGGCAGCCAGTTCCGAGCCTCGCCCACCAGGACGGCTGTGGACAGAGCCATGCAGCGCTGTCCCGCTGCTCCAAATGCTGCACCCACAAGCTGGTTCAAAGTGTTCTCCTTGTTTGCATCAGGCATCACCACACCATGGTTCTTGGCTCCCTACAGTGCATAAGAAGTGGTTAGCCTTCTGCTGTTTGATCTCAATATCAGAGAAACATAAAATCAACCTCCACATTACACAAATTTAATCCGTATGTTATTGATGGACACATGAAATAGAGGGAACATCTTTTATTCACAACTTGACTCCAAAGCAGTGATGCACAGCTGAAATCTCTGTATTGCACTCTCTCTCTTCCGTTCAGCAGGCAGTACGAGGAGCAGTGACCTTAAACAAGAGTCTGCTGGCCAATGCTGCCCCCTTGTGTTCATTTACAGGAGTCAGATCATGTTGCACTTTCATCTCATACTCACCATGTTTGACTGGACCCTCTTGCCGTTTTTAGATCCCCTCTCGTAAATATACTCCCCAGCTTGATTTGAGCCGACAAAGCTAATGGCCTTGATGGACGGATGGTCACAAATAAAGTTCACAGCTGTGGAGGAAATGTATCCAAAAATGTTATTAATAAATCAAAGAACATCTTAAATATAAATTAACCAAACAATGTAGATAATAACCTCTATTCTAAATACTAGTTTGCACTCAATTTTACACGACTACTGAAATAATTGATAAAAAATGTGGGATTATGGAAACAGACTTTTTATAGATACTTCTCAGTTGTGAGGTAACACTAGTTATTAAGGTTTAAGAAAATGAATGAGCTTGGTATACATCACCAAGCAAAATTAAATGAGCTTTAACTACCTTTAAAAATGAATGATTAGCATCTTTCCTCATTTTTATATATTTATAAATCTGTTTAAATCAAGGTATTTATTACCTGTATGTATTTATTATTTATTTTGTGACAAAAACACATCAATTACCTTTTTTATTTTACTTTTCATATAATTTATGAGAGTCAAGATGACATGAGCTAATAACTTACTGTATGTCCAACATAATGTCATCCAAAGACATCTATTTTATAGAATACAGTCTGATTGAGCAATTGATTTTTCCTCATAATGTGTCTGAGGCGTTTAGTGTTGTAGTCAAGACCAAACTAACTGAGACCAGAGTGCTCAGAGACCGAGACAAGACATTTAGGGATCTAGACCGAGTGAAGACCAAGACCAAGGCAGGACGAGACCGAGACAAGATATTAAATATCAATGAAAAATCTCACTCACATAGACCTTAACACCAGGGAGGTTGCAGACATAACCAGAGGATAAAAATAAAATTTATGAATGGATTTGTTCTTTTAGAAAGCAGCGTTTTACTTCTCATGACGTGAAAAAATAGCCTATCAGTGGTGGTCTTGACTGGTTTTGATTTTAAATTCAGAGTCCACCAAGTCTAAGACTGTGACAAGACCGAGTAAAACGTTTTTTAGATTCATCTTTTAAGGGGGAATCAATCTTTCTGTTATCTCTCAGAAATATCTTTATAAATATGGCTTTTAAATCTGCCATGTTTTATATTGTTTTACATAATTCACTGCTGTGGATACACTACATAAATTCTTTCAGACACCAAAATCACAAAAGAGACACCAAACCCATGTCGATCACTGGCTAAAAGCGAAAGACACCAACTCTTACCATCGTGTTGGCCGTGGATGATGTTGAGTGTCCCGTCTGGAGCGCCAGCATCCTGAAGCATCTTGGCCAGCAGCATGGCGCAGGACGGCACCCGCTCTGAAGGCTTCAGCAGGTAGGTGTTGCCACTTACCAAGCCCATGGGGAACATCCACAGGGGGATCATGGCAGGAAAGTTGAAGGGAGCGATGCCAGCGCAAACCCCAAGGGGCAGGCGGTAGGTGTAGGTGTCCATGTCCTTTGTGATGGAGGGCAGAGTTTCACCGAGCATCAGAGACGTGATGCTGCAGGCGTGCTCCACGACCTCTGCAAAGAGAAGGAAGAAGCTCAACATGCCACATACGCCGTAAGTTATTCGGTTTTAAATAGTTTTGGATATGTGTGAATGATTTGCTTAACTGAGACAAATTTATTTTGTGTTAACATTGTGTGTAATAAGTTCTGTGTGTTAGAATTTCAAGTGAAAGCTGTACATTCATATTTAACGATGAGATGTAGGAGAGTTAAAGAAGGCTGATATTTCTATAAGCGCCTCCAGCCCTGGTTCATTCTTTATCAAATATAAGGCAAAGTTGACAACTAGCAGCAATGATTTAAAGGGCACACATGGAGCTAGGATAACTCATTAACTTTCCCTTTTACCAAAAGTCAAAGCCTACATAACATGCAAAGGTTCTCTTATGTTTCCCTCAGTAAAGCCCCTCTGTGTGTGTGTGTTTGTGAGGTAAACTTACGCAATCCTCTGAACACATCCCCCTCTGCATCCGCCAGAGTCTTGCCCTGCTCCACTGTGATGGACTTTGCAAGTTCTTTCTGAAACACAAGACGACCCCTCTTATGTCACACCTTCGTTTTCTGCTTCATGTTTTCAGATACACCTTACACTTTTCTGACCCTTTGACTCACAATGTTGTCCTTGATAAGCTGCTGATAACGCAGAAAGACCTGCTGTCTGGCCAAGATGGAAGTCTCTGACCAGGAGTGAAAGGCTCTGGAGCAGGACTCCACCGCAGCTAACATCTCCTCCTGGGTGGCTTTGGGTACGCGGGAGATCACCTCGTTGGTAGCCTGCAGAGGAGGAGGCCATGAGTACATTTTCATTACTAAGCTTAAGATTAGTCTGTTCTAATCAGCATTTGCTGTTTTAGTTCAGAAAACATTCGAGACCTTGCTGATATTTAACTGACATGTATGGCTTTTCATAAATCTGCAGGTCAGAGATTATCAAACCAATAACAGGAATTCCATCAGGTTGAAGTGATTTCTAATAAGTATTCCTTACAAGCCGTCAGACTGATTTGGTATAATATATTTGCATGTATATATATATATATATATATACTGTGAAAGATACCGTCAATGAGCTTATAACACAAATACGAACTAAACATATGATTTTATATTGCAAGGAAATTTAGTTTGTAACTACAGAGGCACAAAAAATGATGTAACACAAAACAGGTTAAACATCTGCACAGACCTGATCAATGTTAGAGTTACCAAATGACAGCGTAGCATCATGATCCAGTTACATCAGGTTTATTTAAGATAACTACATGGTTGGATGCAGCAACAAAAGGTGTCCCATTTCTCAATATAACACTTACAGGATTGTGAATATCCAGCCATTCTGTCGTCTTGGATTCGACAAACTTCCCGTCAATAAACAGCTTGATTGTAGACTGCAAGGAGAGATGCATGATGTTAATTACCCATGCAGGACATTTGATGTAATGTGTAACAGCAGACTGACAGTGGGTGTACGTTGTCTCACCGCTGAGGAGGAGTAGCACATGCGGCCAGCTCTCAGTGGGACCTGAGGAAATAACACAACAGGGAGTCAAAAATCTAATGCAAAAATACTATCCATCCAAAAAGTAACTGCTACGTTTGGTTTACATATTACATCTAACACTTATTAAACAATGCCGGTTGTTTCCAGTTTCAGCCTGATGGCAAAACCAGATTAATGAGCAACTACATTATGTGGCCTCATGAGGAGGCCTGAAGGGGACAAAGTCAAGAGGACTGGAAGAATGAATGTAGTCCAGCCAACAGGGGCAGAGTGACAAGCCTTTAACGAGGTCAAGTTTTTTTAGTAATAGTACAATAAACACACAGAAAAACTCAGGGCAGGCCCCTTGTTTGAATCATGAATCAGTTCATATGAGGTGGTGCTATATGAAAAGTCTGCAGGTGATAGCCAATCATCACAAGTCCTCTGAGGAGATGAAACAGGTTCAGTTATTCTTCTGTGTGAGTAATACAAGTGTGTAAATGAACAAGGATCTTGTATCCTGCAGCACATAATACATTGCACTTTGTAAACAATGTGAGCTGTCAAATCTGCATACGTCGTTTGCAATTGAGCAGAGTTTGAAATAGGCCTACATCGGCTTCATAACATACCTTTGCCTTCAGTACGGATCGTAATGCTGTTGTTGCCATGTTGGAAATGTTATTACGCGCAGGTCGACTTGACTTGACCAACTCTGCAGGTAGGACGGTGGCCAGAAGAAGACAGCTTTCGCAGTTCTTCTTAATAAAGTTGTATTACCTGTGGGCGGGTGTAAAGGACATCTGAGGTTTGCTATTCGCTCCGTGTTCGCACTCCCATCAATAACATAGCCTGATTGGCGGATTCTATCCAATCAGGACTCTTCTGTCTAACGGGATCAATCAGGATTCTATCCAATCACTAGTTGACATTTTAGCTAATCCCGCCTTAGAGTTAGAAGCCGCTCAGGCATTGGTTAAAAGATCAAATCGGTGTTGCGCAACCCTGAGCTGAAGTGAAAAGCTAGCTCAAGTCAATGAATGTTTTCTCTCAGGCTTCAGAAATTACATCCTAGCCAAGCTGTGTGTATATGTCATTAAATTCTTATCATTGAAGACAGGAAGTGGCACTTTGCTCCGCAATGTGCAACATTTAATCGACGTCATTTTGACAGACAGGCATACCAGACATAACTATGCACTTGTCTTTAGCCTGCATGTCCAAGGTACAGTAAAAACACTGTTGGCTGTGTTCAAAGTGTAATGTGTGTGTGCACACTGGGTCGCTAATGTGAACCATATGGAGCCCAGTTGTTGCTTAGTCATGGACCAAAGATTAAGTAGGAGGGATTTTAGGGCCACATGCTATTGGTTGCTGGAGGATGGAGAGGCTGTGAACTTGAGAATATCTGCTTTCAATAGTTGATTCCGTCTAGTTGAAGGGAACAGTACAGGCAAAAAAAGCTATGGCTACCCAAACCAAGGTGAACTAGTAGACAGAAACTTAATCTGCGTAGGGAAAAATGTGTTTTCTTTTGTAAATGGACTAAAAGCTTTTGGTGTTGTTGTTCTTTGTAGCCTGTTCTTCATGGGTACTTCAGAAGTTCCTGCTCCTGGAGGGTTCGTATTGGTAAGTTATGCCTCAGCATGTGTCTGCTTAGTTGGATTTTGATGTCTGCAAAACGATCATTTACTTTTTTTGTGCAACAGCTTTTGCTCTCAAAGGTATTGAATATGACCAGGTCCCAGTCAACCTAATCAAAGATGGAGGTCAGCAGGTACAGTTTAGATTCTCATGCTGTGTATAAACACAAAATGATTGTGCATGAAAACATGGGAGATCTATTTTCTAAAACCCTGATATAAGACTAGTTACTACTACTTATTTCTTGCAAGCTTTTAAGAATCCCAAACTAATCTAATAAAAAAAAAAAACCTGTGTTAAAGCGTACACAAGAGTACAAGACATTGAACCCCATGCAACAAGTGCCTGCAGTTGAAATCGATGGGATCACCCTGTCTCAGTCAGTGAGTCCACCAAACTCTTCACCCATGTGAATCTTGCAAATCATTCACATTTTATCCACTTGAAATGTAATGGATATATGGTTTCCTGCTCACAAAGCTGGCTGTGATCCAGTACCTTGATGAGACCAGGCCAGGGGCTCGGCTTCTCCCAGCAGACCCAAAGAAGCGTGCACATGTTCGGATCATAAGTGATATTATTGCCTCAGGGATTCAGCCACTGCAGGTATGAACCATACAGTCCAAATGATTAGTCAGCTTTTGTTACTTATTACTAAAAAAAAAAAAAAACTTCTGTGCTTCAGAATTTGTACGTCATTCAGAAAATAGGAGCAGAAAAGGTGCAGTGGTCTCAGCACTTCATTGATCGTGGCTTTCAAGGTTGGTGGAAGCGCATCAGTTTACCATCCACTGTATTCCTTCTTCTCCAGACTTCTTTACAATATTATTCATGTGCACTCTCTCTTCCAGCTCTCGAGCCGCTTCTGAAGCAAACAGCAGGGAAATATTGTGTGGGTGATGAGGTAAGAGCCTGACCATGGAATAATGTGTTACCACAGTTTGATAAAAAAAAAAAAACATCCATCTTGTCTCTTTTAGATCTCCATGGCAGACATCTGTCTGGTTCCACAAGTCTACAATGCAGAGAGGTAAGTGATCAGACATTAAAAATAGAACTTCATTATAAACTCATTCAGAACTTTTCTTAACCTGGAGTCAACATTATTTACCTTCTTCACTTTAAATACCATCTGTCTTTAATCTGTGCAGATTCAAAGTGGACATGGAGCAGTACCCCACTATCAAAAGGTTAAATCAAACCTTACTTGAGATTGATGCCTTCAAAGTAAGCCACCCGTCTAACCAACCAGACACACCTGCTGACCTGCGTGCATAGAACTCAACAGTTTCAAATAACACAAGCAACTTTGTACTTTGTTAAATAAAATGCTTTGAAAGAAAAATACAGTGGAGTATAGTTACTTTGAATTACAAGGAAACTTTGAGTAAAAAACATTTATTAGCATTTGCCTTCATCCATTTCACCCAGTCCAGCACTTTGTTTCAATACACTGGTATGGGGACAGGTTAAGGTCATAACCTAATGTGTAAAATACATCAGATTTGTTATGCAAATCACAAAACCTCTCATTTCACTGCATGCAGCATGAGATCTCTGTGATGGTTATTTAAAAATAGACTCCTAAAAAGAAGCGATATTCAAGTTAAAGGGGAAAGAATAAATCACAAAAACAACAAATATAACCTTAAGGAATATATATATATAAACATTGAGAAACTGATTTGTCACATCATCAGGACAGATCACAGCACTTGTACTGTTTTGGAATAATAAAACCAATCGTCCTGTTTGGATCTCAAAATCATCACTTCGGACTAACCAGAGAGCTCCACTGAGCACTTCACTATGTCATTGTAGAAAGTGCCAGAGCAGTCTGATCCTCCAAACACGAGCAAACTGCACCCAACAAGGACACTTTTGCCCTGTTCATACTTCTCAGCTTCTGTTAGGCTGGAGCATCCCAAATGTATCATACTGTGTCCTGCACGAGGCTTTGAGCAGAGCAGAGGAGACGCCACCGAGCTCCACATGTTGGTGTCTGAAAGGAAGGAAAATCACAGAGAACAGTTTGTGACACAATGGAAACTAGCTCGTCTGTAATGGTCCTAAAATGTTTTACTTATTTAAAAAGTGAGAAGTCAATCGGTCATGCTGATATAGTTTTATAAAATACAGTGCATTAAACAAATTATAAAGTCACCAGTGTTGAAAATGTGAACATCCTTCAGAGCTCCGATTGCACTGCAGCCGCCGCTGATAAGTATCCTGTTGTCTGACACCGGCACAGCTGCATGAAACCTGTCAATGTACAGTCAAGAACACTTTTCACATTAATGTTGTAAAGCCAGTTTCCACAGAATACTAAAGCACCTGCCTTCTATTATTTCATGTAAAGATAAATGGAGAGTTCAGATAGATGTTGTGTTTAAACCATGAAATTCAAATGCAGTTCATTTCTTCCAAAATGCCTAAACCCAAAAGACCAGATGGCTACATGGATGACATTTCTCAAGGTCGATCAGTAGATGCGTACTCACCCTCGAGGCAGCGGTGGCATGTTTCTGCACTTCACAGCTGTGTACTCCATGAATCCTTTCCTCATTAAGAAAATAAATAATCATTTCAAAGCTGGAGTCAAAAGCGTTGCCTAGTGCAGCAATCTGATGTTCCTCTTACCCAGATCTAGCACGTGGAGATCATTCAGGTAGGTGGCCGTCTTACGACCACCAAATATCATCAATTTATGGGACATCAGAGTGGCTGAATGTCTGTTTAACACAAACATAACCTTGAGATTCATGTTTTAACAGAAGGGAAACATATTTGGATGGAAGTTAACTCACTGTAGGGGATTTTGAAAAGAAGGCTTACCCAAACCGAGGCAGAGGTCTGTCCCCCTCCACAATGGGCTGGTACCAGAGTTCAAACTCTGGGTTGAAGATGTACAGAGCATTACTGCAGGGTTTATCTGTTGAGGAATGGCTCGGCTGAACTCCACCAAAGACAAAAAGCTCTTTCTTATAAAAGGCTGCAGAGTGATATGCCAAATTAGGAATGTTCCCTTTTGCCTAAAGGGGTAAATCCACAAAAAAAAGCAGAAAGAGAGCATTTCAAAAACTCTAGTGGAGCGTTTGATAAGGAAAACTTCAGCATGTTGACAGCTTGCAAAAAAAAAAAAAAAACCTACAGTGACAAGCTTCCACTTCCAGGTCTGAGTATTCAGGATGTAGAGCTCACTGTAGCACTGACCTTCCCTCAGGCCTCCGTAAACAAAAACTGATTTAGAGTCTGGGTCATAGGTGGCAGAGTGTCCTCGAGCACATGGGGGTACCGGTCCAGAAGAAGAGGAGTTCATAGAGAACCAGAAGTCATTATCTGTAAAAAAAAAAAAAAAAAAAAAAAAAAGGGTCAGAAAGGAAACTAAATGTTTAAAAGAAAAGAAAAAAAGTTATTTGTAAAAGCACAAATATACTAATATCATACTGACCTAACTCCAGCTTCCACAGGGAGTCCTTGCAGTAGTTTTGTTCTGCTGTCTCTCCTCCGATGAGGATGGCGGTGTCAGGGTCACTCAAACACATTGTGTGGCTCCAGCGCTTCGATGGACATGCTGAAACTAAACATGATCACTGTGAAAATAAGACTCAGATAAGAATGCACTGGTTGTAAAAGTTTGTTTCTGACCTTCTCTGTTCTCACTCTTTATCTGCGCCATCACTTCCTCTAGACTGTTCCTCCTGGACATCCTCATTTTCTTGGGGGTGGAAGCTTGGTCAGTGTCCTCTGCGAGGCTGTCACTGTCCTCGTCCTCTAAACTCCATGTGAGCTGGCCTCTCTTACTGATAACTGTACGTTTTGGTGTCTTCTCCTTATAGGCAAGGCAAGGAAAGACAGCTTATTTAAATAGCAGGTTTCAAACCATAGAGTCAATTTAAAAGAAACACAGAAGACTTCTTAAATGAAGATATATATCAATAGATATGAAGATATCAATTTAATAATGAGTGATATAAACTACAATAATCAATTAAAATACAGTTAATTGTTTGGCTTACTGTGGGCCAAACTGGAGGTTTATTTTCAATTCTGAAAATGCCGGTGTCAATTTTGTTTACTTGGATCCCTGCCGAAGAAACATTTTCACCCAGGTGCGACACATGAGCATTAATCTGCAAGGTGTTACAACATTAACATTGGAAACATACATATTACATAAGAATGACATTAAATGATAGAAAACAAATGTGCAGTTATTGTTAGGAATGACTCTTACCGTAGGCCAAACTGGAGGTTTATTTTTAATTCTGAAAATGCCGGTGTCAATTTTGTTTACTTGGATGTCTGCATATGAAGCACTTTCACCCAAGTGTGACACATCAGCATTAATCTGCAAGGCAGGACAACATAGACATGTTTCAAAAATAAAACCTATTTGAACTGTTTGGTTCTTTTTAAGAAAGACATTAATTGCTAAAAAAGATATACATTTAAATTGTAACAAGTTAAATGCAGCTACTGTTCAGATTAAAGTGCAGTAATAACTTGTACTAAGAAAATAAATGTGCACTAGAGAAAACAGTTGTGCAGTTAGTTAGTCTTAGGCATGACTCTTACCGTAGGCCAAACGTGGGGTTTCTTTCCCATAGTGAAAATGCTGGTGTCAACTTTGTTTACTTGGATGTCTGCATATGAAGCACTTTCACCCAAGTGTGACACATCAGCAGTTGTCTGAAAGGCAGAACAGTGTAGACAATTTGCACACACAAAAGGAACAAATAAAAGCAAAACCAATAATATTTTTTCACACATCTCACCGTTTCGTTTGCAATGCTTTGATTTAAGGTTGAAGAGAGATCAGTGGCATTGTGTTTGTCTGGGAACAGACATTTCCTTTGAACCAGAGGAGTGCTGCTGAAGACACTGGATTTATCCTGTGCCTGCTTCAAGGACAATGACATTGCATCAAATAGTACAGAGGAAATGTACAATATTAACCCAGGGTGAATGTGCCATCTAAATCTGAAGAAAATAAAAAATATGTTTGGTTTCCTTATGCTGGATATTAACAGGGTGCTGTTAGGCTACCACTTCACATAAAACTAAAACCATCCTACCTCTCCACACACTGTTAGCACAATCTTTCCATAAACTCCTCTCCTGCCTCTCTCTGCTGCCACTAAGACGATGTCAGAGCTCCACTCCCCCTCCCAGGTCAGGCACCTGAGTTCAAAAAGGTCAATTTTACCCATTCAGTGTCGAGTGTTTTTGCAGAAAGTGGCCAACGTACCTCGCTTGAGATGTCAGGGTCCCAATTTGTTGTACTTCAGCACTGACCACAACCTCTACAGAGATTGTTGTCTCATTATAGTTCCATTCTCCAAGACCAAACACCACCAGCTGTTTGGGAAGAGGCAGGGGCACGTGGACTTGGAAGCACCTTCGGTTGGATTTGCTGCAGATTGAATATCCCAGACGACATGGTTAAGATGCTGTTTCGGGGTTAAAGCGACTACATACCGGTATTTCTTTAAGGCCTACCTAATAAACTGTCGGGGAGCGTCACGCAGGGAGCACAGCACATAGAAACTCTGCTTCCCCATGTTGTTTCAAAGTCTTCTCGTCAAGAAGTGTACACTTTCAAACCACGAGCAGCACTTTGGTGTGACCTGGAGCTCGGTTAATCGCATCTGATTGGCTGACTTGAGCGCGAGGACGCAGAGAGAAGGCGCACCTGGAAACCTCAGCTTTAAATTAGGCCTAATGAAACACACAATATAGCTGTTGTGTTAAACTACAAATAGGTTTTAGATACGGTCTTTCATACAGTGTCATTGTAATAATGATTTACAGAAGGCCTATGTCTATTTATGTTTCATATTTATATTTACTTTTTTTTTTTATTATTATAGTTTTGGGTTTTTTGATCCTTTAACCACTTGTTTCTATTTCTTTTACTGCTCTTACCTTCTTATTGCTGTTATCTTTTAATTTATTTTTTTCAGCTCTTTTGGTTTCTTACATATTTTTAAATCTTTGGTCGTCTTGGTCTCAGCTCTTGTTGTTGGGTTCTTGTGTTGCCTGGGTTCTTATAATGGTTCTTGTGATGGTCGGGTTATATATGTCTGTTGGGTATTATTATTAATTATCATTATTATTAATTATTTTTAGTATTTTGCATCAGTTATATTCTTACTGTTGTTAATGTTCTTCTGTGTTTGGTTTAGTTTGCTTTGTTCTTGTTTTTGCTGTTTGTCAAAGCACTTTGTAAACCTGTGTTTTTAAAAGGTGCTATATAAATAAAGTTATTATTATTATTATTATGTCTTAAAGCGTAAATTGATCTCACATGTTTTTTTTTTGATTAAATGATTTCTCCAGCTGTGTGAAAAGTGGGAAAGTGAGTGAGGCTATTTGAACTTTTTGTTGTCTATACAGTACTGTTGATTCACATCTACCTTTACCAACAGAGAACGTGCAACAAAATGTTGTTAAGTTGAAATTTTATTCATTGTTGATAGTGTGAAATACAAAAAAGTATGAATCTCTCTAATACATCTAATACAGCGTTGTGATTTATTGAAAACCATTAGAGTCTAACTGTATGAACGTAAATAAGACTATGATTATTATTCAAGTAATCAAGTAAAATGGTGAGTCACACAAGTGCAATTGTATTCTGACTGGTCTTTGGGGAGGCTAAAAATAAAACTTGGTTTCATCAGTACCTCTAAGAATTACATCAAATCCCTAATGCCACAATTTAATGGAAACACAGGGGACCATCCCCTCAAGCACTATCTAATCCTGGATCTTGCTTTGACATTGGTATGAAATGATAGGGTCTCAGGTGGAATAAGTGGATTTGGTTGGTTAGAGACAACACACAAAACTGACTTACAGTATTTGTCTTGTTACATTTACCTGCATCTCATTTCCCAAGTATTATAGATTAACCAAACAATACAATTACAATAAAAAATATTGCAATTTGCATCCCTACACAGAATCGATGCAAAATGAACCACAAAAAAATATAGACAATATTCTCTTTATTGTGGGATATAACGAATCTCATCATGACTTACAGTGAGGGTACAGTACATTAAACATGGGCAACTTAAACACAGTCGGTTACATTGTATACAGATTGAGCAGCCAAATCTGTGACATCTTTGGGAAGCATGCGCACAGCTGAATGCGGTAGAGGCATGGATATTAGAAACAGGATGTAACAAAGCTGTTGAACACATGTATGCCCTAAACATCAAGGAAACTCAAAAAGAAACACGATGATCTCAGTTTCCATAGACTTGTGCACAGAATACATTTAGATGAAATATTGCAACCGCTCCCTACTCGTGACCCTGCAATTTAGAGGGGGAGTGAGGCAAATGTAAATATTGAACGTATTACATAATAAGAGTGTTTTGTGATAAGGGCTGACTTTTATTTGTGTCATAAAAAAAAGCACACTTCGGAAAACTGTTATCAGTACATTCAACTTACATCATTTAGTAACACACAACTAGGACAGAAGACAGCTCTGTGCACAGAAACACATAATAATATTCTTCATTATCACATGGTTTATTTCAACACAGATCAAAAAATAACTTACGCTACAAAGCAGAAGGATACATACAGGTGGCAACATAATCATAGAATGTGCACGCAAACACACGCAAACACACACACACACACACACACACACACACAACAAGAGAATTTTCAATTTTCTGCAGAGCACTGCTGATTAAGCACCTGGCGAGGTGAAAAATATCCTGTGCAGGTATTCCCTGATCACTGCTACCATAGAAATGGTGGGACTGAAGACGATATATGTTTTATGACCAAATAGCACAGTGCATTCATGGGAACATGGCACGGCTTCTTCAAATAACTATCAGCAAGACACTCGAGCAAATGTTGTCTCCAAAACTATCTGACTATATATGGAAATAAACACAAGCTGATTATGATAAAAATAGATATTTAACCTTTATATATTATAACTTCATCTTTTTCCATGTTTGGAATCAAAAATAGTTCATTGTTCTACAGAGTCGTATACTTCTGTAAAGTAAAGAGTACATTCATAAACAATAATTTGGCATCTTAGGCACTGTAATAAACTCTGTAGTAAAGAGTTTTGTTTCGCCATAGTGAGTAGGAGTTATCAAACTTCAGGAGGTAAGTGCCTTCACCTGGAAAGTCGTGGCTCCCCCCATGGACGGACAAGTGGCTGTCCTGGCGGTAAACAGGTAGGATTTCCCCCAGGCTTGAGTTTGAACGACTTTTGGAGCCCTTCTCGATGTCTCCGTTGCTGACAGGCCCTGAAACAGAAACCACATAAAGCACAAAGTCAAGACACTGGCTCAGGCAGCAGCTAGAGGAAAACACATTAAAACAGCATTGTGGTGTGTTTTGTAGACACAGAAAGACCAATGTGTTTGATAGAAAAAGTAGTGATGATTGAGACAGTGCGAGTCAGGATAACACTAACCTTCAAGCTCCTCCTCTTCTTCTTCATCATCGCTCGACTCGCTGATGTGTACAGTGATGGACCGGCTTGTGACGGGAGTCCAGTCAAAATAAATGCCAAAGCCAATGTCATAGCCGTCTGTAGCAAACTCCCAGCACACTTTTTTGGCCTCGGGCACAGTGGGCACGTGAACGGTCATGATGTCGCCTCGGTAAACTGTTACCATGCTGTCCTCCTCCGTGCGGAGCTTCGCCTTAAGCTCTTTCAGAGCAGCAGATGTCCATGTTGATGGGGGGTTCAGGGGCGGCATCTGGGCTGCAATCAGGAGGAACAAGTGACATGAAGAATCGTGTATATAGCAGTCAATGAATGTTTTTATAGCTGTAATTCACTGTGAACACACGTATGAATACTCTGGATCCTAATCATAGAAAAAAAAAACAAAGCAGCCGTCATGATGGCACAATCGGCAGGCCCTCACCTTTCATCTCAGCGGAGAGCTGACAGCTCCCAGAGCTGTTGCTCTCCTCGCTGCCTTCCCCCGGGGCCACCTCAGCAGGGACCTCTTCATCACCCTCAAAATGAACAGACACCAAACTAAATAACAGCTAAGAAATCAGACAGTATTGCACTTCTCTTTTATCGACAACCATTGAGAGCTTTCCACACATTCCTAAATATTAACTACCTCCGTATATGGTCCTGAATCCTCCTTAGTTTCCTCCATATCAGCTTGGATTTTGGACTGGACACAGCTCTGTGAAAGGTCTGTATTCTGGAGCCTGAAGAGCAAACAGTGTCATCAATAAAAAAAAAAAAAATATCAGAATGCAGGAAGTATAACTATCAAGTGATTCTTTATAAAATAAAAAGAAAAAAAAAGACTTAAAGTAGCAACAGGCTACCTTTCTTACCTGTCCTGCGGGCGGTCGTCGCACTGATTAGATGTTATTCCAGGAAAAGATGAGAAGGACAGAGAGGAGAGCCGCGACTGAAGCTCTGATGTGGCCTCTAATCTCTCCATGGCTGTAAAGACAAACACCTCAGTCAGTCTGCGTGGCTGGAAAAGATGAAGCCCCGCCCCTCTCCAAACACGGAGGGAGGAAAAGATGACAGCACTGAAAGCTAACCTCGAAATGCACACGAACTCCTGTCAGACATTAAAGGGCCACATGAACGACAACAAAACTTCTCAAGCAGTTGAAATGTACATTGAATCCTCCTCTGGTTGCAATTTCATAATCGGACATTTGCCTGTAGCCGCCCGGCTCGATGGTTAGCATCCGTGAAGGCTAACGCTACCTAGCAAACACAGAAAGTGAGGCGAGGCGGAGGGCAGACAGATTAAAAACTAGTCTTACCACGATGTGACGCCGGGAAATCTGAGAGTTTGATTAGATTTCACTTCCACTAGTCGAAAGCAAGCCATCGGGGGAAAACCCCTCTCCACATCACAATCATGAGACGGATCTATCCACTGGGTTGTTTCTGTGTGTGAGGGAAGAAAAAAAAAATAGTCCCGTATTTTTGACACTTCCGTGTTTTCTCGAGTGTAGCCGAAAATGTGCGATTGTGAAGTACCGAGGTGCTCTGCTCACTTTTAATTTCGGTGTTTTTTTTTTTGTAGAACATTTGTAAAAGTTTTTAGTTGTGTTTATATTTCATGTAATGTAAACATTGCTGTTAAATCTGCACTTATGCAATGAATGAATTGTGCTTTTTTTTTTTTTTTCTTCTTCCATGAACTGATTTTATTTACAAAGCATTGCAATGTATTGAAGGAGATGTTGACAATTTCTGCTTTTTACTGTTTTACAAAGACAATATCTTGGAAGATACTCAGAGATGGTGTGGTCTAATCTTGCATCAGTAACTTGTAAACTGCAGAGATGCATTGTCTCATAGGTTTGTCTCTTGATAGAAAGCACTGCAGTGGGGTGTCTTTGGTCTGGGCATCAGTGAGAGAAATCCAGGGGAAGGGCCTTGAAAGAAAAAAAAATAAGGGACAATATGTAATTATTTCAACTTAAGCTTCTATTCATTTTGTCTTTCATCGGTACATGAAAGTATAACCTGCTGTATCCTTGAGTGGGATTTACATTTTTTCATTTGGCAGAAGTGAGGTAAACATGATATGTTCTGGAGTAGCACTTACTCCCCTGATAGAAGAGAAGATGCACATGATGCACTTATGAAATTCTGTGCATTTAATTCCACAGCGTGAGTCCCTTTCTCTTGAAGGACTTTGTTGATCAGACAGAGAGCATCACTAGATCCCAGTCTGGCCACGGTGCAGATATTTAGCAGGCTGTACAACGCTGCACACACCCAGTTTAGACCCAGAGAAATGCCGCCTGAATAAAGAGGAATATAACTGCATTTAAATATACAAAATCAAAACATGGGTAATGCATCACATTTGTCGCCTTAGATCTTATACGATCTGATTTAAAGTGCTAAATTCAAATTCAAGATTTGTATTTTTTAAATAATGAAAAATAATATACCACTCCCTGTAAGAGGACAGGAAGCCCTTATCAACAAAGGATCAGTTAAGACTGTTTTTAAATGAATGCAGGACCGCCACACTTCTGCAGCATCACCAGTCACAAAGTCATACTGAGGATTGAGAATAAAGTCATGTCCAAGAAGCTGTGCCAATCTGAAAAATAGATAAAAACAGAGGAATTTAGAGACTGATACTCAACAAACATGAATGAATACTTTCTGAGTGGGTAGTACCTCGAGACAGGCACAGCTGAAGTGAAGCTGTACACAAGGCAGTGCTTTGATAGATTAGAGCGGAGATCAGCACAAACTTTAGGGAGGTCAGAGGGCAGACAGCAAAGGAATAATATGTCTGCCTCTGCTGCCAGTCTGCTGTTGTTGAAGAAACATTCAACCCCGGCCGGCATAAATTCCACTGAAAATAAACAAACAGCACACACTTCAGAAGCCATCTCATTTGGACTTTCTCAACACTCATGGTAGGTTAAGACACAATTTAGGAAGTCATTTTTCGTTTAATCCTAAATATCTCAACATAAAAACTCTAAGCAGGAGAATGTTTTTAAAATCAGGTCACTGTGGTATTTTGTTATGAAATAGTTAAATATTTAGTTCCATCCCCATCATTTTTTTTTTAATACTCAATGTTATTTCCCCGGTCTATAGGAACCTTGACTCAACATGATGAGCAACCCCCCCCCACTTAATATTTACAGTCATGTTATGATGTGGCTACTTATTGTCATATCTGGGACTATTGGCTGACTTTGGCAGCAGTATACCTGTAGATTCTGGTCTTCTACTGGAGATCTTAATGTTTGAAGGTTTGATGCTGTGCTTTTCAAGGAGGGACTTGAGCAACTGTTTTCCAAGGTGACCCATCCCCAGAATCCCAACACAGAGGTCTCTGTCTTCTTTAGATGCCAGTGAGCCTCTGTTTGCAGTGCGACTTCGGATCATACATCTAAATGTGAATCAATAAGAGTTTGATAATTGATCATTTATGTATTATGAAATGTGGCCTACAAGTTCGTTTAAAGGGGGTTCCCAACATAAATCAAAACAATACACAAATTTAAATGACAATAAGGAAAAACACATTAAGAAAGGATGAGGGACTTTGATCAGTACCGTAAATATACGTCAGTGTTATTGTAGAGTTGCCACCGGTTTCAGAGAAACTTAAAAAGAGACCAAAAGGAAGGCTACGTTACCTCAGCGATTGCGCGAGTTTGCACAGGAACACCGCGTGCGCGCACCCGCAAAATGTCAGGCCAGCGGCGCGTGCACGAAGATGTATAAACTCTTTCTCCTCCTCGGTCAGTCCAGTCTCAAAAGAAAAACTGCCCAAGCCAGCTGTTACGTCCACCATCGTCTTAAACTTTCAAGATGTGAACCGACGAGCTTGGCGTGAAATCGGCCTCGTCCACCTGTTTCTATGACAACATGACAACTTCCGACCCCAACATATTTCAAGTCTTTGCGAGTTCTTAAGGTTAAATAAGGATGAACTTGACTCTTACACTAAGTGTTTTATGGATGCGTAAATAAAGGGTAATTCTGGCTATAACCAGAACCTGTATGTTCTGTTGTCATGGTTTGGATGTTTGTCTACTTTTTGTTGTTTGAAGTGACAACCTTTGACCCGATCAGCCTCCAAAGTGTCTTGCAGAATCAATAAAAGGGCACATTTAAGCTGTTTTGGAAGCACAGGAACCCATCCAAGCCACACTTATCTCTCACGGATTTTATTTCCCTTTCATGCTTTTAATACAAATTCATCACTTGAACTGTACACCTATGTACAAGTAAGATTCTCCTGACCACACAAACAACAAAATGGGCAAACCAACCTTCTGCAACTTCAAGCCAGATATCAATATTCAAAACATACAATTAAAAAGTATTTTAAGACTTTTCTTCTAGATTTTGAGTCAACATGTTCATGTCAAAAGTGTGACATGTGAGCAGCAAACTGACATAATGAAACATTTTTTTTTTTAAGTTTACAAGCTACTTTTCACATCAGCAGCATTTGAAAACATTTATCACCACTCAAAATAAAACTGCAAAACTTTTTCACAAAATTGAGGTGACCTTCCCATCTTTCATTAATTTAACGGAGTAACCATTGTAGTCACTTAAAAGTGCTGATTGCAGAACTTAACAGCAAAAACACATTCAGATTTTATGCTTGTTCTCATATTTGCGTGACATGTTACACATTAGGATTTTATACAATAATAACAAAGTCCACATACAGTGCAGTTTGTAGAAATGATGGATTATTATAACTAGAATATTAGTCCAATTAGGATATAGAACGCAACAACAACACAATCTGTAAACATTGCTGTTTGAGAATGGAGCTATTGTTTGTGCCTCATAAGAGCAGCCTATTCCTTCATTGTTCTGATTTAAATCTTTAATGATATTGTTTATCCAACGACTGAAAATTCTCCACATATTGACAAAATGTGCCTCATATCTTCATCACTCTTCACACATCCCTTTGATCAACCGTGCAGTGATAACCATGAAGGCACTGTGAGGGAACTGACACAAGCTGAATCACAGTTGCTCAATTTTGCCACAAGATGAACAGTGTCTTATTTACACCAGGGTTTAGTGCACCTCTGAGATGTCTTCATGAAGAAAAAAAATTGCAATGTCATTTGTTGTGGCTCCTGAACAGTCATGGTTTGAGGAACCACGTGGCAACCAGAATCACTCCTCACCCTGCCTCCATTTCTGAGACTCCTCCTGTCGTGCATCAGGGTGAATCTGGTTCCTCATCCCACCCAGGACATTGGAGGTGGCTTCAGTGGCCATTATGAGAGGTTTGACCACTGCTGGTGGGAGCTGGCGGAGAACTCCACCCACTGCCCCCGTCATCCCACGCTGCTCGTGTTCCCGGGTGGCTGTGTCATAGATGGTCAGAGCCGTGTCTGTGATCCCCTGTAGGCAAAACATCCTCATTTAACAGTCTCTTAAACCCTTTTCACACATATGGAAATCTCCTGAAAAACTCCGGAGATTTGGCTACCCGGAGGGACTTTAGGCTATATGTGAATGCAAACAACCGCATTTTTCGCACAGACTTTACCCGGAGTTTCTCCGGCCAGACCCTAGTATTTTATCCGCAGAAAGTCCGAGTGAGCTGATGTCTGAACGCGGCAGCATATACTCCGGAGATTTCAATTCGAGCCAATGGGACCCTAGTGACGTTTATATACAGTGACTGCATAAAGTGTCTGCACGCGACCACTACGATCACGTAATTAAACGGCTGCATTATGTTTTCTGTTCGTCAGTATGTTGTTCTCCGCTCTTTTGTGGATGTTGTCATTCCATTGGATTACACATAGCTTTGATATAAAGGCAAATATTCTCATTATAACGTCGTCAGAGTCGTCAGAGTCAGCAACAGAGTCCGCTGACTCTGTTGCTTCGGCCGCTACTTCCACGTTGTTTTTTACGTCACGTCTTACCTCGGGAAATCCCCCGATACCCCCTCCCCTCTGACAGATATAGCCCCCCCGCTGTGAGGAGCATATGTGAACGGCTTGGTCGGAGAATCTCCGGAGCTGTCCTCCTGTAATTATCTAGATATTATCCGGAGTGCATATGTGAAAACGGCTTTTGTTTAGTTGTCATTGAATTGAAATTGCTTTATGCATGTTTTTTTATTACCTCTTTTACCACGGTATAGGCTTTGGCTACACCTTCCCTCAGGTCCACAGGCTGATGAGCCAGTCTGTAATGGGAGAACCGTTTAATCCTCTTCATATCCCTCTCATCGGGGACAGGAGACACCATGTCATATGCTGTCTCTGCTGCTGCCTGATAAATACCAAGACAACAATGGATAGGTTTGATGCCTGCTTTAGTAGAATGGGACATTTTAGTGACAATGGAAAGGTGAGTTTACCTGGATTGTCCGCACCATCCTGTTGGTGAGCTCCAGAGCAGCCATAGCAGTGGAAGTCCCAAAAGAGGCGGTGCCACGCTGAAAGCCTCGGACTATCCGACCATCCTTCCTATACTGCTCAATGGGTAGCCACACCAGGTCTCTGAATCCCTGAACTGAACAGAAAATTGAACAAAGTTTATGACAGAAATCATGAGTTACACATTTGCTTTAATTTAACTTTTCAATTTGTTACCATAAATGATAATAAATCAGGCACACAATGACATTTAGGTATCACTACAAGGACTGTGACTGCATTCAGAACATGTGTTGGTCTCACCTAGTTGTACCAAAGAGTGGATTGGTCCCACTCCACCCAATAACCCTGGAAGCTGGTTCTTCTTTATGTCATTTAGCCACTCATTTATTGCGTATGAAAATAGCTTATCCACACCTAATAATCTAAAACAACAAGAGAACAAGAACAAGACAAGTGTAAGTTTCTTAAGATAGGAATAACTTGTTACGGATGTGTTTTTATGGTATGAAAAAAACATTTTCTCTCATATTGGATACATTTATGATAACAAATTAGCATTACTGTCTCCTGATATAGATTACTGAGACAAACTCACCCTTGTCGATAGCAAAGGCGACGCAGTTTCAGCTCTGAACAGTTCAACTGTGTCAACCCGATGATGATCCCTGCAAATGTTCCCTGAAAAAGAGCAGTCCAAAAATGATCATAAAGCACAAAAAATAATGTGGGACTAATACATAGCTGGACTGAATATGCACCTGCTCCATTGAAACGTGTTTTCCATGGTAATCCAAGCGAATGGGAACCTCAGAGGTAAATCGAAACTCCCTGTAGGGGGAAAAAAAAGAACAGACTAGTAGTTTTTAAAATGATTCCTTCAAAAAGGAGTTGAATATATTTTTAGTTATTTTCCACTGACCTAAAGAAGATTGGTTGATCTATGAAGGGAGCAGCAGAGGTGTCCATGTCGTTCCCTTCTCCCTGCTAGGCGTAGAGAATCCATTGTGGCTCAGGCGCCTCTGAGCAGGTACTGAGATGATTGGGGCCGGGTCCTGGCTGCTGCCGGCGTGCTTGGAGAAGCTGCAGGAGATCTCTGGAGCGGACGCTTTTTTTGTGGTAACACAGACAGCTGCGGAGGAAAATATTATCAGGAGCTAGTAACTGAAAGTGAGGGGTTATGCTACTGTCACTTGTGGATAATGAAAGAAAGTTACCCTCTTGGACAGGCGGTGAAAAAAACTCAACTTCAGTAGCAAGACTAGTAAAGAAGTCCTTCAAGAAGAAAAGGGCATCCTACAGAAAAACAAGTCACTGTTGGTTACATAAAGTTAATGAGAATGCAGATCTGTTTGTTTCACACCCTGGAAACATCTACCTGATCAGAGTCGCTTACCTGATCGATATTTAGGCGAAGAGGCATCAGAGAAACACGCAAACAGCACTCCTGGGGAGCCTGGCCTGACTCGGGACACATGTGCAGCGCCTTAACTGTCAACTAAATCCAAAAGCAAACATCTTGTGAGATGTTACATCAGGGCCAAGGCTTCACAGCGTTACAGGAATGTGTTGTCTTCCTTACCATGTTAGAGTGAGCTTTTCGGGGCATTTCCTTGCTTGAATACAAGTAGAGGAACTTGTTCATCTGTGAGGTAGCCAGTCTGTCGCGGATCTCCAAGTCCTGTACAACGAACACCTGCCGGGAGACGGGATGATCCATCGCCGGCCCAGAAGCCACTTGAGTCTGCGGGTAAACCTCATGCTGAAATCTCAACTAAGGAAAAGATGAGAGAAGAGCTGTATTTCTGTAGAGAAAGGACCCAAAGATGTCATCTGTAAGAGTGTGTCAGTATGAACCTTTTACCTTGCTGAGCTGTATCTCCATCAGGACGTCAGGGTTCCTCCCTTTGCCTCCTCCTGTGCGTCCTGAAGTCTTGACCTGCCTCACTGGAGTTTGAGAGGGAGAGCTATGGGGTGTAGTCCTGCAAAACAGAAAATATCACAAAATGTAGACAAGCTGTTTCTCTAGTTGCACAAAAAAAAAGTGTTTTTTCACTGTTACAAAGTGTATGACTTACCCGTGGCTTCTAGCTGGTGAAACTGTGTAAGTAGTACTAAAGTCTTTCCCCCCGTAGAGGTGCCAGATGACAGAGATCTCTTTGATGAGGTATCGCACCTCTGGGATCGGAAAGTTCACGGCTCCACGACTGGAGTCACTCCCATATAGAGGCGGGCTGAAGTGATTGTCTTTGATTTCCACAGCTTCTGAAGTAAGCTTCTTCACCACTGGCTCCTGATCAACATCCTGAAACACATTTCACTTACAGTGAGCTTACACAGATCTTCAGCTTCAGCAAAAACAGTTAGAGGAGACCATCCTGACCTCTCCTCTTGAACCTGGTGTCTCTAGGATACAAAAGTCATCGGTCTCCTGGGCTAGTGTAGGCACAGGAGTGATGAGAGGAGAGTGAAGCATGGGGTAGGTGGGGCTTAAATCTTGGGTTAAATTCCCACTCTCATCTGGGAACAAGAACAGGTCAGAGCGAGGCGCGTCTTGGTCCTGATTCCGCTCCTCGTGTGCACCTACAGACGTGTGGAAAAGGAGGAAATCTAGTTAGAGAAAGTTACATCATTTATGATTTTAAACTTCCATCAATACCAAAAAACAAGTCTTCACCATTCTGTTGCAGCCCTGGAGCATGCTGCCCGTCAGTTTCCTCCATAGCTTCACTCATCAGATCCTGCAACATCTGCTGTTCCGTCTCAGCAAGCAGCGGGGTCTGAGATGTGGGCCTGCTAGGAAACTCCACCTGTTCAAACACACACTCAATTTAAGCATGCATCACCTGTGTTTTTGTACGTCTGACTCGTGCTGGTGTCCCTGCTGACCTTGGTTCTCTGTGTAGTGCTGCTGTGCTTGGTCTCCGGCTCTGAAGGCGGCAGTAGGTCTCCATAGCTGGCGACGTACTGGATAAGATTCATGAGGGCGGCGCAGGAGTCCGAACACGTTCTGATGTGAATAACATCACTGGAGCACCGCAGCTCAAATCTGGGCTCTGACTATAACCAAAGAGACGGTACAAAATTAAGGGACAAATTCAGTTTAAATCACTGATTTAATTTAGGGGCAGGTACTGCTTACCAATTTTCCATCCACTCCAGGTTTGACTGCCGTAATCCTCAACTCCAGTGTTCCCATGTCAACCACTTGGACATAGTCTGTTACAAAAAAAAGTAAAATTTCTAAAAGCTGCAGGTAAACATTATGAGACGTTTCCGTCATAACCATTACTGAAGTCAACCTACCACGTGCTAGATTGACGGAGACAGCGTTACTCTTGTCCGAGAGAAACAGAGCTGCTTCATCCAAAATGATCCTGCACACAAAATATCACACTCAGCAAAGACTACTTTTACTGGATACGTAGTTTCAGTAAAGAAACCAGCCGCACCTTCATACCTGAGTGTTGATGAAGAGAGGTCTAATGAGACACTGCTGGAGATGCTGAAAGTCTCAACAACCAGCAGCGATCTGAGTGGCAGGTAAAGGGGTCTGCTCAAGAGAAAGAGAAATGCCACAATTGAACACTCACACAGATAACAAATGGCTCATGATTAAAGGGAGGTCTGAAGTTGACTCTACCTGTAGTCCAGGGAGCAGCTCCACAGGTGTAAATGAAGGGTGGTGACGGACGTGGGAGGGGCGTAACCCAATACAGGCTCATCCGAAACATTCAGAAAGTCAACGATCTGTTGCACATAGATCACTATTAGATGATTTGAACCATTATATTTCCCTCAAGTTCTCTCTGAGCATTGATTGAAGATTGATTGAAAAGAGATTCTATAAGAGAGACAGGTAAGTGGTAGCTCGTACCTGGTCGTACCAGCCCAGGCTGGGAGGGACCACTCTGTGCTGGAGTGTGGCTCCTCTCACTCCGACAGCAATCAGAAACTCCTGCATAAAAAAGAACACATCGGGCTGCCTGATGAACTTTCAACAGAAAATCTGGGCTATACAGAAAATGATTGGCTGAATGGGTTAAAAACATGTATATTTAGGTATATTTCAGTTGACTGGTGACTGCTATCACATGGGTATACGAACTCATGAGTCAGAATTTGGGTTGTAGAATTAATCAATTAAAGTAATTCCATTTGAAAACAGACCCACCCAAAGGGCTAATGTGGTCACATAATGGTCTGTTGAGGTTTGAAGTCATAACAAAGATGCATTTTACTGATATGTGGATTCATGTTAGTTCAATAAATTCTCTAAAAATAAAATAATAATCCTGCTTAGAGTCACTCCAAGGGGTCACAAGGTTCTTCTACAATCAGATAACTGCTCTATGGGGAAAATTATCATACTTCCTGTTTACCTGTCAGTGATTTCATTTACTCTACCTTGACATTGCGTTCTGCGTTCTGTGATGAGATTTTCACGGCGACAGACACCATGCTGCGGGCCTCCAGACCGATGCCCTCCGAGGGTGTCGAGGATCTCTCAGGAGATGTCTCTGATTGGTAGATAGTCGGCTCTAACCAGTGTGGGTGTGTCCTGTATGGTAACTTGATTTCTGAGACGGAGGTGCCTCCATCCAGAAGTCCTGAGCAGATTAATAGAGGAAGACTTTAGTAAAATAGGTACAGTATTTGTGTAGAAGTGTCATTACAACAGGGATGTAGAAATAATGTACAGTAGTAATCTATACGTTTTAAGGACAGGTTATCACTAAATATCATGTAAAGACCATTTGAAATAAGAGTGAATATGCAGTCAGTTTACCTTGATGATACATGCAGACATTACTAGTGTGGAAGCAGATGTAGTGTTGATCTTTATAGCCTTCGTACTGCGTCACACTGAAGAGCACAGCATTCTTCACCTCCAGCCAGAACTCGCCATGTTTGTTTTTCAGCACAGTTTTATCCTCCTTCTAGGAAAAAAAAAAAACAGAAAATAATTCCATTACAGAAAACAAGCTTACATGCTTAGAATCTTGCTGAGGGTGTGATAAAAAAACACATGATTTAAGTTCACCTTTGCATTAGTCTGGAGAGCCACAAGGCCATGATTGACACTGAGGACGACAGAGAACAAGCTCTGAGAGGTCTTACTCTGGGATTTGGGTTTTTTCTTCTTGCGAGACCTGGGGCCGAGGTCAGACGCAGGACAGTAGTAGTGCATGGTCTCCTCCTCAGAGCCACTGGTCTCATCTGAAAGCACAACATTAAGCATGTTCAGTAAGTGACCGCACTATACACATTTGTACTAATATGATGAGAGTCAGGCACATGGGAAACGTTTTTAGCGGCCTCACCCTCGGGACCAGTGGCGCGGAACTGGCTGAAGCTGTCTTTGGAGTAAGTGTTGATCAGCTGACTGGCAACAGAGAGTCCGACTCCATAGGGCATGCTTTCCACCGTCTCAACTGGAGAAGGAGCAGTGGGCTCCCACAGCAGCAGGTCATTGTTTATCCTTGATATGGAGAATATAGGTTTGGAACAAGGTTGGGGTTTAGTATCCTTGAAGGCATCTTGTTAAAGTCTACTCTATTCTTCATTTTTAATGGCTGTCAATAAGACGTATCTAACTGAAGAGTAGCATGTTTCATGCAATACAATCGGGAAATTCAATGGTACAAAAACTTAGACAGCAGGTAATCTGTTATTTCAACGACTTTAAAGCACATTTTTAAAAATGAAAGAAATTCAGAAGCTAACTGCTTTATGGCCTACAGTATTTCTCAAACATTTTCTATCTTTTATGACAAAAATCTATCTTACGAATTCCATACCTGTTATGTAGTTTTTCATAGAATGTCTTGTTGGGAAGAACTAACTGCACATTGGGGAAACACAACTCAAGAATTAAGCGAGAGTTGTTCATGGTTTTTTCCTGAAACTCCGTCATCTCTGCGACATCGCCAGGAATAACCATCTAGATTTAAAAAGGCACACAGAAAACCAGATTTCCATAACAGGGGCTCATCACCATCTTCACTGTCAACAGGTTAAGGATGCAAAGCAGCACTCGTGCTGCTTTTTGCATAATGATGCATCTGTCACTCATCGTTATTCATCATTCAGAGGATACCCCTCTTCTGAATGCAAATCTGTGCAGCTGCACAAATACATCATAGACATTGCAAAAACAACTTGACAATTAAGCAAATGTAAAGATCCAATATGTGAGTTATCTACTGAATTAAATCATTAAAGGACCTTACTATATTATTAGACATTAAAGAAGCATGATATGTTGAAGTGCTGGCTTCTCTGTAAACAGTGCAGCAGCCAGTATGTCCTCCTAAGTTTCAATTCTGGAGAGGTTTGCTTTTATTTCGACTAGAGAAGACAGGTGATTGTAACGCAACCCCAACACCACAGTTTTCCCTCTCACCCCTTAGATTGACAGGCAAATAGCAAACCAACAGGTGTGGCAGCAATATAAGCGGGCAAGGTTCAGATTTAACTGATTCTACCGGGGCAAAAAAGTCTCTGTATTTTCTAAATAAGCTTCACCACCAGGAACCTGGGAAAAGTAGGATTCATATTGGAAATTAAGAGATAGAGAAGATAAAGTGAAGCTTTAGGACAATATGCATGCACATCGGCTCTAAGGAGGAGGGGGCAGGGAGAAACAGCTCCCTTCAATGTTTTGAATTTGGACTGTAGATTTTAGATGCTACGTGTCAGAGTTGAATACTGGTCCTTTAAAGAGTTTTTTTTTTTTTTATATTAGGAAATGTGTGTACTTCTTTTTGTGAAATGCAACAATATCATTCACATCTATGGAATGATGTTTTGAAGAGTTCTAAATTGGGTTCATTAAAAAAAATTAAACAGTTATTTCATGTTTTAAAGAAGATATGCTGCAATTTAGCACCAAGATACGTTTTTATAAATGAAATATTTTCCTGATGTCAAGAATTTGGATTGATGTGTTCCTTAAGCCATGAGCTACCTCTTCATTCTCATACATAACCCTTCGTGATGAAAAGGGTGATGGTTCCGGTTTCCCAAAGTCGCACACGTCCTTCAGTGAATGAGCGGCCCCTTCCTCCTCCTCCTCTTCTAGAGAATGGTCCTCAGCCCCCTCGTCATCTTCAGCCGTCACCCGCTCAAGAATGGAGTGGACCGCAGTGGGGTTCATCTTCAGCACAACCCTGTTCAGAGAGGTGTAATATCACTGAGAGATGATGCTAAAGTAGACGTCGCTTTGAGTTTGGTTTGTTGAACTTACCTCGGCCAATCAAATTTGACACTTTCAGATGTTGTCATGTCTCCGTCCATGGTGTGTGATACTCTGAGGAAACGGGCTGCTTGTTGATCGGGCTCCTCCTGAAACTTACCTGTGCAAGGCAACAAAAACAAATTAGGGCAATGATTAAAATGATGCATGGAAAGTGTTTTCCCTCCTTTAGTCAACATACAAATTAGCTCTCTGAAGGTCAGCTCCATCTTGGTTTGGTCCGGTGAGCTGCCACCCATGAATTCTGTTTTCATTTCCAGGTCCTCCAGCTCCAGGATGAGAACTTCCTTCTGCAAAGACTTCTTGAACCAGGGCCCTCTCTCCTGATCCGAGCGCAGGTCAGGGATGGGGAAGCGGACTGCAAGGCCAAGCATCGGGGCACTGACAGTCAGCAATATGTGACAGTTGGTTGGAGTATGGCTGTCATCAAGGAAGACCTCTGTAAAGGCCTTATGCTGTGAAATGAGTTTAAAGAGACTCATATTTAGAGAACATACTAGCTCATGAGTCTATAAGTATGATATTTATTGTTGCCTTTTTAAGTATGACATGGTGGCAATTTACACACCATCACTCTACACTTTAATATTTTATATGAAACAATTATGTGTCTAAAATGTCTTATAATCTTCATTAACATATCTTAGGATTCCTTACCAAGCTGACATGTTTATTATATGATGTGTATAAATGGGAGGCCATCAGCTCTGTAGTTGCCAGCTTCTGAGGTTGCAGTAAAGAATTCAGTCGATCCACGATGCTAATGTCGAGCTCAGAGCGCACGGGGCCCAGCTCCACCTGGATCTCAGCTTTCCTGGGGATGGTGCTGAGGCGAACCTGGCCTCCCTGCAGAGAACCAAAAGGTGGACTTGAGTAGAGGCATGAAGGTGACACAGTAATAAGTTTGATTTTAGATGTAAAAGTTAGTGCTGTGGATGAAAATTGGACCTATACGTTACCTGAGGGCCTCTGCGCTCAGCCTGTTTGTAGAGCAGGTGAAGGCAGGTGGTGAGTGGTACTTCAGCACTGGACGGGGTGTCAAATGTCAGGAGCTGAAGTGTGACAGAGTTGCTAATGAGACACACTCCTAACGTCGTGCCAGTAGCAATAGACAGGCTATAGAATTTGTATGTGGTTTTAAATAGTACAGAATTCAGTGCAGTGCAAAATGTGCACATCTCAGGCTTAAAATGCTGACCTCAGTGTACTGAATGCCTCTTTGGGAGCCACCGAAGACAGTCTCCGAGGGGAACAGACACTCCAGAAACTCCATCTGGTTAAGGGAGACGTCAGTGCTGAAAGTCCGCAGACTGGACCCCTGACAGTGCTCGTAGTTTATCTTCAGGCCCTGGCCAACAAACCTGTTAATATTAGCCCAGATCAGACACATTAAAAGTGAAATCACAAATTATACAGATATGCGAGGTTATATGACACCAATTGTAATCGTGCAAAACAGGAATTGAAAACAAACCTGAGGTGGTCATGGGGGCAGGCCTGGTTAAACATGGTCCGAGACTGAATAAAAGCAGCTGGTGCCAGGCCGCCTGGGCCCACCATGCTGAAGAAGTGTGCCGCCATCGGACCGAGTGGACTGGGAGCAGCGTCTGGAGGTGGCAGCGGGTCGATGTGGAGGACTGAGACAGCCAGACTACTCAGAGTCAGCTTGAGCACCAGCTCTGGCCTCGACTCATCCCCGTGTGTTTTGGATGGATGGGCTGAAACACAACACAAATGCAGATCTGCATTCAGATACACTTTAGTGTTACTGTTCCCATAGAGCGAAATACTTCACCAGGTGATCTCACTGACAATTATTTCTACGCCCACAGATACAGATCAGTGATTATGCTGATGTTGTCGTTTTTTTAGAATGAAAGCCACAAACTGCTTTCACTCTCTAAAGTAAATATCAACACAGGGACTGGCATTTACAGGAAAATGTGTTTGTTTATATATTGTGATACTTACAGTTCTGTCTCAGTAATTTTTGAGGGAGTTGTGAATCCCTCGACTGGAAGGGAGTTTCATTAGTCTGCTTTTCTCTTTGTCGAGGTACATCCATGTAATCATCCCACAGACCCTGCGAACATTGATTTGATGTCAGACAGTTAGAAAAGCTGACACAAAAACAAAAAAATCCTTTTGTAAAATATTCATTTATATGAGATTTCTCATGATCTAAGAGAGTAAATGGACAACTCTCTATAAAACATTCACCCACATTACATTTTCATTTGTCCGTAAGTCAAAAACCAAAACGGGTGAGAACTTACTGTTGCATTCCCAGAAGGAGATTCTCCCGGGGAGGCAGAGTAGTTGCTGTTAAGTGACAAATCCAAGTCAACGGTGGGTGGTTCACCCAGAGGAGGGAGGGATGACAAGCTGTGAGACATGTCCATATCCGCCATGGAGAAGAACACGTCATCTACACCACCCACGGATGTGTTCAAAAAAGGAGAACGCAAGGTTAAAACTTAATGTAATTAATGCAACAGTCACATCTAATTGTTGAGAAAGGTCAGCTAGAATATGTTGTTTTAGTCCAACCTCGACTGGACACGGTTCTGGTGGTCTGGCTCTCAAAGAGGTCAGGGTCTGATCCTGGAACAGCACTATCCTTCTTCAGACAGCGGTTCAGTTCCATGTGGAGCCGATACTCATCCTCCTGCTGCATGGGTCGGCTCTTTCTATCCTTTGCCCATTCCTGTGCAGCTTTACAGAAAGATGAAAAATGTATTTTATATCCAAATAACAAACTTTGTAACATTGTTGTTGTTCACCTTCATCTACATTAGAGGGGTTGCTTACCTCCACCAGAGAAAGCTCCAAACAAGTCCAGAAGAAGATGAACTTGCCGCGGGGACAGCAGAATAATAAGTGTATCAATATGTCCAACAACATCCAGCTGGAAAACAGAGTGTGCAAAACACTGTTTGTAACAGCAATCACCTGCAGTTCATAATATAATCATCAATAATAATCACAAACGTTTGCTCCTAACAAGTTTCCTATTTAAGAGATGGTTCATTTACCTTTGCTCCAGGCATAGCTAGGTTGTTTTTCAGAGTGAGGGATAACTCAATTTTACCACCGAGGCTCCCAATCTGCACTGGTTCAAACGGTGTTGTGGAGGATACCGGCTCTGTGAACTGGGGGTGAGGCTCACATATTATTTTGGGATTCCAGCTAGGCGAGAGTTTTGGCTCGGTTTCCTGTAAAATAAATGAGATGTTTTTTTTTTTTTGAAGGCCTTCACCTTCCCCTTTGTTTGGATACAGTTGTTTGACATGCTTCACCAACCGTTTGAGTGGGTGAAGATTTACAGCCAACACGGGACACATCTGAAAACTCATCCCAAAACACGGTGATGCCTTCCATCTGCAAGTTTTTATGTGCAAATGTTGTCGGCTGGTGCACGTTCACATTAGAACTCTCTTCGCCTGTCTCATCGCAGTAAACAATCCTGAAAGGCAAACACAGAACACAGTTAGCATAACAAGCAGTTTCACTTTCATCAATTTCTTTTGGATCGACTATAGATTATACATTTAAAAAAGTGAAATGATGGGTGATGGCAGAATTATTTACAATACTTTTGAAAGTGTTTGTTGTCTCACTGACAGCAAAAAACTTACTTGTTGATTCGAACCTCAAGACCGATTCCAGTTTTCGAATTTTCTGGAATGTGCTCGACTCGGAGAACAGTATCCAAAAATGTCACTTTAACTCTTCTCAGAACTGCAAGATGTTCAAGGACAACACATTATAAACAATACTAGCTTTGCAAACTTCTTTTTATGTTGTTTAAAAGTAATTACAGTTAAACAGACATAATATACCTGTCTCTATAGTTTCTGCAAACTTCTCTAACCCTTCAAAAGGCTGGAAGCTTTCTCCCATATCATCAGTGAGTTTCTGGCTCAGACATTCTTTGGCAAGCTGCATGCTACTGGTCATGAAACTGGACCAGTACATTGGCTCAGTACCAGATGCTGAAAGAGTAAAACAGTAATTTACTTGTCAACTGAATTCATTATCGATTTGTTCACACAAAAACAAACTTTCTCACAGATGATGTCTTAGCGACAAATGAAAAGCGTCTCCTTAGTAAGGAGTCCTTACCCACTCGTGGCCTTGGTCTGAGCACCATCTCCAAACCCTTGACCTCTAGGGCGCAGTTTTCCTGTAGCAGGGCTGCCCATGGGACAGTAAGAGAAATTGTCTGGATAAACCCTGCGATTACCTCAAAAGGGGCATCTGCTGTCTCAAGGAGCTCATTGAGGGACTAAAGAACAAGAAATAATTATGAAGCTTCTCTTTTGTTCAGGTGGATTTTGCACATAAAACAAAGACATTGATCTGCTGTATTGATCTGCCACAGGGCTGACACTTCACATACCCATTTATCCAGTGGCACTTGTGCAAGGGACCCAGTGCCTTGATAAAGGTCTAAACTGAGCTGATCCAGGCTTAGCTTTTCCTGCAGAAAGTTGCCAAGGTACCGGTGCAAGAGGTACCTGCATGCCCGCTTCTTGATAGACTCAGAAAATGGCCAAGGCATCTTAACTCAACAGGTGAGCAGGGCACAGGTACTGAAAGGGATCTTGATGTTCTGCAACCAGAATGCTACAACTATTGCAACAGCTTCGATTTAGTCACTGGTGTTGTCATCCTGTCGGCTTGAAGACACTGAGAGAGTGTGTACTCAAACACCCTTCATATCCCAAGATTAGGGACACTTTAGAGGATGTGTTAACACTCAGGGATATGTGTGGGAAATGGTCCGGGTCCGACTCCAGTTTGCTTCGCCTGTAGACAGACAAACACACGGTGCCTGCTTTGTCATTTGTTTACAACACAGTCCAAATCAACAAGCTCCATCAATGCTTCAATTTGTGAAGTGTGCATTCAATAGCCTTGCATTAACGTAATGGCAATAGCAGTCCAGATAACGTTGTTGTTATCTCAAGCATGCACTTGTTCATGTTCTAGTAAAGACAAACGCACTTGCGAAATAACTGTTAGCATGTCAACAGCTACCATTAGCCATGTCTGCTAAATCAGATCTGTCATGTTGTTCACTAAATGGTAGCTGCTGCCTGGACAAAGGCATGACACTTGGCTAACTAGCCGACTAGCACAGTTAGCTTGTAGATTAACCACTCCTACCAGCAAATCAAGGCAGAATTAGCATAGCCGGCAAACGTCAGGCTAGGCTTATAGCAGGACTTGCTTGCTAGTTGGCTAGCTAGGTAACCCCTAAAACCCAACACATCTCAAGTTATCTACCTTCACATGTAACATGCACACTGACAGAAATCACAACACACAGTTACAACCAACCAGTTGCTGACACGCGTGAGGACGTGACAAAGCTGACTGTTTCAGTGCGGCTAACAAGTTACCTTCTGACAGAGTTGTTTACAAACACTTTCATGACTCCGCACTGAGCCGACACGCTCCTGGGTGGGATTAGCCGATGACGTCACAACATGGCGGAACCGTGCAGCCCGTGGGACGATCAAAGATTTGTTTATTTTTTAGTAATTTAGAAATAAATCGGGAACGATCAAGTCAAAGGCCCGACGTGCGTTAATGTATCTTTAGCTTTTTTTTTTTTTTATTGCACAAATTTGACCCTGAACGGTTGTTGATCTTATTAACGCTCCTCTGACTGAAGCTTCCCGAATAGCTCCGAGTGAGCCCGAAGCTTCCCGAATAGAGCCGAGTGAGCCCGAAGCTTCCCGAATAGATCCGAGTGAGCTCGAAGCTTCCCGAATAGATCCGAGTGAGCTCGAAGCTTCCCGAATAGTTCCTAATGAGCTCGAAGCTTCCCGAATAGTTCCGAGTGAGCCCCGAAGCTTCCCGAATAGATACGAGTGAGCTCGAAGCTTCCACAAGCCGGAAGAACACAACAAGCGAGGAGGTGAGCAAAATGAACGCAGTTATGTCAGACATGATCATTTCATCACATTCGGAGCATCATTGATTACCTTTTTCATTACATTACAATGTGAACATTTTTGATGAACTACGCACATGGCCGTCAATGTCTTTACTAACGCAGAGGTTTAGTTTCCCCTGAGTTCACCCCTTTAATGTAGCATATGTTAGCCATGCTAACATCCAAGTTTACTTCACTAGATTGGTTTAGCTTTCTGGATGAATTCGCAGATTTATAACATTTGCATGACACTCACACATTAAATACAGACGATGTTATCTGTAGGCTGTACCTTCAGTAATATGACATGTTTTGCCTCCGTCTTCCACAGAAGGAGGTCAGTGTCCTCAAGATGTCGCTGTCATGTTGATTTTCTAAAATTGAATGAATTAAAACGTATTAACATTATTGCATTCCTTGCTGACTGTGATACAGATGTTGTATTGCCAAAGTAAAAACTACATTTACACTAGTAGCCGACTGCGTTTCAGTACAAAGTTGACTTACATTAGGAGCTCATTTCATTCTACTTTTTACCACTATCTGATGAAAATATTCAGTTTACACAATAAGCTATTTTTTAAAGGTAAGTTACAATTTTATATTTATTTTGAACTAAATCATGATCTCATATTTTCAGATTCATATTGAAATATTAAACGCTGTAGGAAATATTTCAAATCAGCTTCACCTCGATCAACATTCAAACTGCACATTACACATTAATGCAACAATAATAATCATCCAATACAACATGCTGTGTGCACATTGGGCCACTTTTATTCTCCCTTTCATATCTTCAGCAGTATTACTTGATGATAACACTGCTCTTAATGTAAAATAAATCTGGTCAGTGATTTTTATTCTCATTTATTATCAATCATAGTGGTATTGCTGTTTTTACTTACATGAAAAACTTGTAATTCTCTATTAAGCCTGATTAGATTTATCAATCTTAGCCATTATATATCCAGCGTGAAAATGTTAGGAATGCCAAATGTTTATGACGGTCAATATGAAATCCTAATCTGGGCTAATCAGATTTTTTTTTTTTTATTAATCAGATTTTTGTGGTGGTTCAGTCAACTTGCGGTCTCCCATTTCTTACTCTGTGTTATGCTTTAAACACCAATACATTTCTTTCCCTCAAAATGTCTCACTCTCTATTTTACTTAAACAACCACATCAGATAAATGTCAAGGTGTTGGAGGGGCCAGGTTATGTAAAGGTTGCTGCATTCTTTAAAATCACTTGTCACATGAAAACAAGGGCTCCTTGCACATTGAAGGCATCAAGCCAACATAATGATGACACAAACAGGCTATAGCTGAAATGCAGAAAAAGGCTTGTAGTGGAAGGAATGAAACACAGAATGCTACTTGACATACATGGGGCAAAACAAGAATGAACTTGTTCAACAAAGGAGCACATGTGGTGGATGTGTAGAAACAGAGCAGCTGACTCGTTTGTTATAAAGGGTTACACTGTATGCCCTGCTCATGATTACTGTAGTTGGCTTCTTCTTGCATTTTTATATTCATGCAGACACTTTCAGGATAGAATGCTGTACAGGACTACAGTTTCATCTAGCTGCAGAGCCACAAACTGGAGTTCACATTGCAACATCAATGTGCTAGTAATCTACGATCCTTTTCTTAAAGCTAATACTGAAGTGCAGTGAACTCAGCATTACTGGGCACTCGAGACAACATTAGTCTTTAAGTTGTTCGTCTGTGAGAGTTTTCTCACCGATTCTGTGTTGAATTTGATTGTTTTTTTTTTTTTTGAGAAATAGTTCTTGAATTGTTCATATGTATAATTATTTAACTGACGTTCGTGGAAAGAAAACTAACGCAGGTCCAACGTGGTTGATTCATAAAGTGGTTTAACTTTTTCATACAATGAAAATGCAGGAAGTAAAATATTTAAATAGCACTAGACAAGAATCTGTGGGATGAGTTTGTCCCAGTTCTCCTTTTTCTTCACTTTTAGAAACAATGCAACCACCGCAGCTGTTTAAAATGCTGCTTCATGCCAAACAAATATGTTTATGACAAGATTACTACTTTGTAGTTTTAAAGGCATCATCTTTCTTTTCTGTCATTTCAGTGTAATTGTAATTATCAGTAGGGTTAAGTCCTACGACTTTGGCTCGTTGCCATGGTAGTTAAGAGCTGCTTGTTGTTAGCACAGCCAGAGTGAAACTTACTTTTTCCAGGTAGAACTCAGTAAGTTGTATTAGGATACACTTACTGAAAATCTGGGGTCCAGCTGAGTTTATAACATTGCCGTTCTGTCACAGGGGATGGAGGTTGACTGTCAGCCTGAGGAGTCCCTCGTCTCTTCATTTGATGAGGACTGTGTCGCGCTTGGTGACGTCAAGGACATGAGATTGGAGGCAGAAGCAGTGGTCAATGATGTACTTTTTGCCGTCGCCGAAATGCACGTGTCACAGAGTCTCAACAGTGCGTCCGATGTGGCCCACATAAACGTTGAAACCAGAGAGGGAAACCGGTACTGCCTGGAGCTCACAGAGGCAGGACTACGGGTAAGATACACTAAAACAGAAAGTTTATGACTGCCTGTATGGTTTCCTTTGTACGTTATTAAAGACAATAATTCCCTCTGCCACACAGGTGGTGGGCTATGCCTTCAATCACGTTGACGAGGATTTGAGCACGCAGTATCACGAGACTGTTTACTCGCTTCTGGACACGCTGAGTCCCGGGTACAGAGAAGCCTTCGGGAATGCTCTGCTCCAGCGGCTGGAGATGCTGAAGCAAAACGGACAATAGAAGGATCAAGTTGTGCGTCAAGTGGAAAATAGTTATTCAAGCTTACTATGTGACATTTACCTGTCTATCTGCCACTTCAAAGAGGGGCCCGCTGCCCAATCAGTTCTGCTTTCTTCTGATTTTCATACCATCCAGTGATGGTTAGTTTAGCGACTGCTTGGGATTGGCTGTGCGGGGTCTGTTGCAACATCGTGTTGTTGACTTCACTGTGGAAAAGATCTTCCCGCTTCCAAGTGTTATACCTCTGTAACTGTGATTTCTGCACCTTTTGTACTTATCAGAATGATCCGAGAAAGAAGCAGCATGTTTTTATAAAGTATTCATCCAGTTTCCAACCTTTGCCCTGCCTGTGCTAAAGCTCTGAACTTATAACTGCTCAAATATAGAAACAAACTGGGTCATGTTCAGCTAGTGTAAAAGAGCCAAAGCTCAAATATTTCAGTGTTACTCATAGAAACTGCCTTAATGACTGACTTTTGGTTAGAAAAGTACAAAAAAAAAATCATTTCCTAATCGTTTATTGACAAAGATAAAAGGTATTTTATGGGGCTGTCGTGAAAGGTGGATTCTTTTGTCTAATCATTTGTAATATGTTTTTCTGAGACTAAGCTGGTTCTGTATGCAATACCAAGTTTCAATATGTGTTTGGATTCTGTTCTCGATACTACTCAGTGCTGTGAATCTCAAACTTGTTCTTTAAGGTGTTTCTGCAACATCTTATCCTTTCTGGGGTTGAGAAATGTTTCTTTTTTTGTTGTGGTCTTGTCTTCAACCTTTTAATTTGTTTTGTCAGGCTGCACAGCATTTGTTGGCACTTTTAGAGCCGCTTTAAAATGTTGGTTTATTGTACATGTCATGTGACCTGGCTATAATCCAGATACTTAAGTTCTACTGTTATACTTGCTGCTGGCCTTTGCTCAGACCAATAAAGTCTCAAAATGTCTGTCAGTATTCATTTTTAACTCCATAAATGTCTTCAGGTAGATAAGACATCACTTTCATCGCTCAGGTTTCGTAAAAATGTTTTATACATTTTTTCTTTTTCAGAATCCATAGCTTTACTGAAGGTATTTCCACTCTAGTGGAACATAGTTCAGGGTCATCCCTTTAAGCAGTAATACATAGTTGCAGGGCTTACAGTATATTATAGTGTAACAGCACAACCTCGAGTGTGAAATTAATTTTAAACAATATAGCAGACCTCGTTCCTCAACCTGGACTATTGCAGATTGACTAAGTGGAAGATCGCAGCAAAAGTCAGCTTTGTTTTAGTAAAAAGTGTGCAGGGATCAAAGTCCTGCTAACCAGTGATGGATATCTTAAATCAATTTGATGAATTGATGCAGGGCGTCCCTTTGAAGTAAATGGAGGGCTCATCACAGGTATTGCTCTAATGTAGCTCACAACCTGCACTTGAAACCAGATATGTAACAAGTGTTTTTTGTTATTGTAGCATTTGTCCTTAAAAAAAAAAAAAAAAAAAAAAAAAAAGATTGTGGAAGTGAAAGAAACATTTGTTTAAACAAACACCACAGACTCTACCAAAAGTCAGTCAGATTGACTTTTGGGAGAGTTTTGGGCCAGACTTTGAGCACATTGTCCATTGTTTACTGATGTTTGATTCAAGGTATGAAGTCCAGGGAGAATGGGTAGAGAAAGTGTTATAACAGATGCACTTCAGCCTTAGGTGACCCCAGTCAGACATTTGATTATCTCGAACACAAAACACACTATCATACAGGAAGTCAAACACTACTGGTCAGGTTGATTAGATCTCCCTGAATGTAAAGAATTTCCACTGCTGGAATGTTACTGTATTTACATGTTGTGCAAATTTGCACTTGCCTGAAGTATTTGGATATACACCAACTTCTAGAGGGTTACCTCTTTTTACATCAACCCTTTAATAGTTTCCATTTCCAACTGAAAATGTAAAACATTTTACATGAAATATATACATACTGACACTAATCTTTATACTTTAGTTTTTTTTACCAACAGGTTTATGTGTTTGAGTGCAGTGACTTTACACTGATTTGTTGGTCAGCAACATTTTAAACTAGTCAGAAAGATTTCATGCTTAGTTGCTTTAAAAAGTTGTTTCTTGTACATGTGACAGGATTAGGATCCCGATACTTCCATGTTTTGAAATCTACTTCTAGTCCTTGCCGTTGTCCTTTTGATTGGACAATGTCTCAGAAAGATGTCAGTCTCCATTTTTACCTCATGATAGACGAGAAGTCACTTTAGTCTAATCTCAGGTGAGGCTTGGAAGTAGATTTAGAAAAGGTAATTTTACTTTAAAACTAGGAAAATCACTAAATGGCCAATGTATGCATCAACACACTTTCAGGAAAGATAAACCAGTTAAGTTTTCTGACATCATCGTCGATCAGACAATGCCTGAAAAAGGACATGGGATCAGTTGAAAATTGCCACAATACAATCAAAGATAAGGGACTGTGGTACTTCAGATGTCTTTATTAAATTTGATATGTTTTCCAGTAGTACAAGTTTAGTAGGAAATGTTACAAAAGGTTAAATTAATCGTGTACCTTTACAGACTACACAGCAGCCAGTAAGACAAGACATTTGCACTCAAGTGGAATGTAGTTCAGGGTCATTCAGTGAAAAAGGAGCCACATCATTTCACAACTCTTAAAAAAAAAAATGACTCAAGATTGCAGCGAAAGAGAGCTGTTATTCATTTTTAGCAGGATTTAAAGGTGTGTGGAAGTCTTGCTTTCCAGTGACAGACATCTTAAAAATCTATTTTATGAAGAATAACATATGATCTTCAGAGTCATTCATATTCTTCACTCAAAGCTGAATCCCTTTTAAAAAAAAACAAAAAAAAACAACAACACAACACTTATCAGAGGCACTGTTGCTTCTTTAGCTCACAATCTGCACGGGGAACAAGATGCAGAACAGGTCCTTCTTGGTTTCGTCTTTCAGTTCCCACTGCACGACCAGCTTTATCTACAAAATACAGAAGAGAAGTCAGTGAACAAAGTGTGACTAGAACATGTGACATACAATCTAAAACAGGCAAAGAAGAAAATTTGTGACAACCTATATTCCTCCGACACAATTTGAGAGTCATATATAGAATGGTCCCGAGATTAGATGAGATCACCACTGTACCGTTCCCAGTAGTGGAATGTGACTTAGTACAAAACATGATCTCATTTTAAAAGTTAAAATCTTATAGAAGTCTTATAGAAGTTTTATTGTTGCACTCATTCATTGTATTTTTTTTTTTTTACACTTCTTAACCGTTTTAAGCTAACGTTTCTGAACATGTGGGTTCCTAGGCTTTACAACATTTAGACCAGCAGACATTAATAGAAAATATGAAGTTAATTACAGTATGGAGGATTAGAAAAGCGGTTTACTGACACATTGTAATTTATTGACAGTTAAACAAAACTACTCAAAACCGGGAAGTTGCTAATGTCTTAAAGTACTTACTGCAGGATACTCTGTCTTCACAGGAAGAGCATTCAGGTAGTGATACGTCTGCTGCGGCTGGATTGGACACGTGATTCCAGACTTGCAGCCATCCTCGTTGGGAATGGGGTAGGGGACAGGAATTCCAGCAATAATACCGTGAACCAACGCCGTGCTTGTCGAGCTCTTTACATCTAGACAAGATAGATGTAGAGCAAAAGTTTAGAAACTGTATCCACTTAATATTGGGAGAAAGTTTATTTTTATTTTTTTAAAAAGCTCCCTTACCACTGGTGAAGGTCACATTGACACTGTAGGACTCTCCTTTCTTGAGCTGGCATGGCTGAACGGCACAAGGGCTAATGTCAACAATGGCCACTTTGCCCGTGGCACTGCCTGAAGAGAAACATGAGAGAGGAGCTTTAAACAGGTGACCAATACATCACATACCAACAATCAAAACGACTTTAATAAAACCTTACCAAGATTAAAGCGAGTCATTACCACTTTGTTATTTTGAAAAAAATATGGCCGCTTGACATTCTCTATAAAAGGCTCATTTAAAATGTACTGAGCGTCACTTTTACCGCAGAAACTGATACCTCACATCTCATAAAGAGGAAACGTGGTACAACCTGAAAGATCACTTCATTCTTTAACATTTGATGACAGGAAAGTCTGTTCAAACTACTTTGACAGCTCTGTTTGAAGAATGATTAGAATGTATTTATGAAAAAGTAAAAAGACAATTTAGAAAATGCTTTGCTGCGAAACACAAATGAAAAGTTAAGCTTCTCGTAGACATCAATGGAGATAAACAGAGGCATTGTAAAACGTGAAAGCAGAGCTCAAGCAACATGTCACATGGGTCCAACTCAGCCTCATAATCTTTTCTGTGGCCCAGTGGGAAGATTTAAAAAAAAAATATATATATATATATATATATATATATATTTCAGAATCCTTTTTTAACTTGACACAAACTGAAGACTACCAAGTCAGGATCCCTGGGACCCTTCTGTGTAACTTTAAACATTTAATTCAAGTCTTTCACAGTTCTCTAAATTTCATAGGAAATCGCACTGAAAAACCACAACAATTTGCAAATGTTGTGGTTGTTAATGTGAAGGGTATTTGTAAAATGTAATGCGTGATGACATTTGGTTAACAATTGTTGAACCATGAATAAAATGCTGAATAAAAAAAAAAAAAGAAGGGACATTCAACGGTGTACTTGCAAGTAGTACACACATTTGATAATCAAAACTGTATGCAACTTAAAGAAACCTTCACTATGTAATATCATTGAATGTTTTGTTTGTTATAGTAATGACGACTTGGTTAAAACAAGGCATTTTATTTGACAGATTCTGGCAGTTATGATAGATATATGCTACACATTTCTGACAATCAAACAATGTTTCTTCAGTCACTTCTGAATTTAGTTAACAACAACAACAACTCAGACAACACTTTGAGGTCAACTATTGACATGAAACAATCAAAACAAACACTTTTATGCAACTAAAGAGGTTAAACTTACCGCAGTCACGGAATTTCACCGGCTCCGCACAGGTGAACGACATCAAGCAGAATAAAACGATGAAACCGGTCTGGACATCCATATTTCTCTCTTTCGTGACCCTAAAACAAGGGAAAGAAAGAAGAAGTCAGGACATTCAGACGACTCGACCATTCCGATTGGGGAGGTCATGTGACTTCCCGTCTGTCCCCCCCAAAGCGCCCCGAGAAGACTCAGTGAGCAGCAGTGATTACAAAGTAACAACAACAACAAGATACATAGTCTCCGACCACCTTGCACTTTGATGAACAAATACAAAATGTTCTCTTAAAAAAATGAGTAGACACAAGTAAAAAAATAAAAATAAAACTCAAAATGAACAAACTGTACCTAACAGGTGCCTCCGTCGGTTTCCTGAGTGAGAATGATATCTGCTTGGCACTTTTTATTTCCTTGTGTCACAAGACCCAAGTAACGCCCATTTATGACTAACCACTGCTATTTGTGCCCGAAATACAGCCTGACAGGAATCCCCCTCAGTGCAAAGACCGCCCCCCCCCCTTCCGTATTTACAGAATATCAAGAAGTACACGAATTAAGTAACTGCTAATCTACACCTCAATGTAAACATTTAATTGTTTGGTCTTCATGGGTGCGACAACAACATGGGGAGTTGTGCCTGACAGGCAAAACCCAGGTATAAATATCGTAAACAAAAAGCGCAAAATATTTGTGATTGGCAGGTAGATTGACGAATCCAATGACCGCGTTGTACCCCATCTGGGTGTTTCCAGAGCTATAGCAACATTTTTAACCAATAGCGATGCGAGCTGTGCCTCGTCGAAGGTTGGGGGCGGGGTTTACCTACATTTGTTATGGAAGATGTCATTCGCCGCAAGAGCTATGATAGCTGCGTCAAAGTCAAAAGTATTGAGCCTGGCAAGGTAACGTTTATTATCCGTATGCCGTAGACATCTATAGGGGTCTCCGTAGAAAACAAAGACAGACTATTGTTTGGGGGTGGAAAAAGACGGGTTTTATCCGAGGGTTTTATTTAGCAACCTAGCCTTTAACTCTACCATGTAACTAGCTAGCACTGTAGTGCCAGTGTCGAGTCATGTACTCCTTCTGTCATGTGATCACGTTGTGTATGTTTTCGTAGGGCATCTACTCTCCTCCACGGCAGCAATGTGGGCCACCGGCTTCCTCCAACTTCACTACCCCTTAACAAGGCGGGGATTCAGCGCTACAGCACTTCAAACCAGGAGATGCAAGCGGAGTCAAATCCACCTGAAGAAACAGTAGTTCTCACTGAGTCATGCGTGAAGGTGAGCAGACACCAGTGACACTTCTGATTAGACGAGTTAAAACAACAAGCTTGTAAAAGAAAAGTCATAACTGCATCCTGTTTATGTCCCTCTTTTAACAGAGACTAAGTGAGATCACGGGGAAGGGAGAGTACCTGAGGATACATGTGGAGGGAGGAGGCTGCTCTGGGTTCCAGTACAAGTTTTCTATTGATGGTAACAAGAGCGAAGATGACAGGTAAACAAATATTGTTGGAACTCGCTCTATTGTTGTCATTGTTTTTCATCACACCAGTCAACTCTTGTTTCCTCCTGCTTCCACTCCTGCTCTGCATTTCAGGGTTTTCCAACAGGGAGGAGTGGGCGTCATCGTAGACCAGGACAGTCTGGAGTTTGTGAAAGGAGCCACTCTGGACTTTACCCAAGAGTTGATCCGCTCGGCCTTCCTGGTGCTCAAGAATCCTCAAGCCGATCACGGCTGCTCCTGCGGAAGCTCCTTTTCAGTCAAACTATGACTTTACTTAACTGCATTAAATAACTTATTACCCACATATGCCTGTTTTTTTAGAAAATTACAGGCACCTTTCATTATACTGAATTCAAATCTATTCTGCCTAAACAGTGACCCTGGAAATGACAGACAGCAAAAATGTAAATTATATGTTATGGTCTTTAAAAGTACAAGTGTACCTCTTAAGCTGGTAAGTGGGGGTAATTTATTACTTTGGACTATCCCTGATATTTTTGAATTCCTATTTAAAATTACTAACTACCCCTATTGTTACAGCAAGCTAAAATCAGTTAAATACAATATTTAACTGTGATTCGTCATGTAGTTAGAGAAAAGGTGCAGTCACAGTGTTCAGTGATAAGATTCTCATTTGTATGTAAAAAAAAAAATGTAAATAGGCCATATGTATGAATAAAAAGAGCTAAGCTATATTGTATTTGTTTCATGAAAATTAAATTGATTGAAATTCAGACACATGATTCGTCTCTCATTTCAAGCAGAAAAGTAATCATGTTACTGAGGTGACATGGGGCATTTCCTAATTAAATTAGAATAATCAAAGGGCAGCCAAGAAATGTTTCTAATTACGTGATAAGTGAGAAAAAGGTTGGTATGCACACCGATAGCTTGTTTTCTCTCCTGCATCAACAGGACTTGATTTATGTTCTTGGCACTGTCTGTGATTTTATGTCACTCAAAGTTTAAAACACAGGGTCAAGGTTGCTTCTTTTTTTTTATTAAAGTGGAATTTAAGAAACATCTCACAAAAAATATACAAAAAGAATATGTACAAATGTTATTTACACTGGTATAATGTAAATCAAAATATGCAGCAACTTTTTTTTGTAGTTAGTCTGTAGTTAGAAGCAAAATGTTTTGCACTTTTCATAATTTCTCTCTGATAAAACATTCCATTTAAGTATAATATCTGATTACACAAAACATTTAGCTTACTATTGGAAAAAGTCACACTGTTCATATTCTTGAAAATGCGACAATAATACGTCATAGCAGCACACTGAAAAATGACCCAAAGATTTGCAACAGTGCATTGAAACATCAATTTACAGCTGTTCTTTTTTTGTTTTCTGAGGAATTTGGTCCGGACGGATTTGTCTTCCAGTAAGCCATGCACACCCACTAACCACAAACAAATCCTCATACAGGTATGCACACGTGTAACATGTCATGGGAGGAAACACTGCCGAGGGAGGTTTGAGGTCAACCAGTCAACAACACAACCACAGGAACAAACCATAAATGAGCCGTCAGGGTAACACAGTGAGCAGGTCAGGTGTACAGTGCATAGTATGCTTTGGCATGCTGACATCCAGAACATAACAGTGGATGTTACATTCAGGAGGAAGGCCACAGGATTTGGAATTACCAGTAAAAATGGAATAAACAATTGACTCCATGATTCCAAAAATAACCCCAACAGAATACAAAAGAAATCCAAACCCTCAAAAACTGAACACTCAGATAAGGCCAATTCAGTTTGCTACATGTTTTTCAAAAATGGCATTGTCAGTAACACAATTTCTTAGACCTCCAAGTGGCAAAAAAAAAAACTGCCATTCAGGACATGTAGACTCATTTAAAAAAAACCTGCACTGTAATGATATGCACGTACTGTATAAGAGTTTTTTTTTTTTTTTTTTTTTTTTTTTAATGAAGATGTGATGTAGTAGGAGCAGGGCTGTAGGCTCTCTGTCTTTGTTCACAATCACAACTGATGCTGTCATGAAAATGAGCCTTGCACATATGCATGCACCTAGTTTTGAGGCAGTAAGTAAGATCAACACATCGACTCATTAACAAGCTGCCAGGTCTCTCCTCTTCTTCTCATTCTTTTCTTCTTTTCAAGCAGTTTTTTTTTCCTCTGAGGAGCATTGCTGGGAGAATTTCTGAGGCAGAATGGTCCCAAGTGTTGTTCTCAGTGATGGGCATGGACACACCTCCACACAAAGACACTAAAAAGGACACAAAAGGAGAGGATCAATGGCATAATATTGAAAGCTAATTAGGTCGTTATCTATGGCTTTATTTGGAGCCTACCTTCTGTCGTCTCCACCAGCACTAACAACATAGCGATCTCCATTAGTGAAGCGCACGTTCGTCAAGTGAGCAGAATGGCCCAGAAAACGTTTGTGTTTGGCCTGAAAGAGGACACATGCACATCATTAATGAGGTATATTTTTTAAACAAGGGACATCAGATTTATCTGATAATGGAATGAAACTGATATGCTACATTCAGTTGCAATGGACAAAATATCAGCCATAAACATGATATTAGGTCTGTTAGTCATCATGTGGTCAGAGAAACAAGTGTCTCAGTAATGGAAAAGAATGTTGAATGATGGTCACAGGTGCAACAAGATGATTTTATAGCATTAAACACATTAACATTTTTAGGGATTGCACATTTATCACATTGAAAAGTGCTGAGAGAAATGTCAAATATACAGTATACATCGTCAGACAAAGGCTAACAATGTTAATCCTAACATCATAAAGAATCAAAAATGTTGACAAAGTAACAAACAGTGATAAAAATATTTAACAATCATACTTACAAACTTCTCTGGACATGGAAAGTCAAACAGCTTAACCATTCCAAAGTCATCGCCTGTGACCATGTTAAGGCCTGAGTGCGACACACAGGCACAGGTGACGTCTGCTTTGTCAGTGTTACGGGACCAGATTCCAACCACCTCGTCCCCAAGGACACTGGAGACAGAGAGAGGAGTTATATTCTGATATTCAGTGTACTGTTAACCATTACCTGTCCGGCACACTTGTCTCAGTCGTAACGCTGCGCCTCTCACCTTGTCCAGGTGGCCCAGGTTATCCTGTCGATATGGGACTGCTCTGTGACCTGCTTCCCAGACGGCACCTCGTACACGAGTCGTTTATAAGATCCTGTGGAGATCTGTATCAAGGCATTCATTATTAGGAGATCTCACGGCCAGCAACTGTCTGACATAAACATGTCCTCTCACCACACTGTGAAGTCTTTACCTGGATGTAGGTGCTGTCAGCAGAGAAGTCCATCTGCATCACAAAGCTGGGGATGTCCCTGCAGCAGCTGATGCGGTTCAGCTGTGGGCCGAGGGTAAGGTCGTAGAAGTCCACTGCACTCTCAGTAGAGCCTACGGCCAAGTAGCGCGAATGTGGACTGAACCTGTAAGACAGACATTCAATGTCACAAAAAAACGTTCAATATGCAGAGTCTGTAGATCTGTTCCAATTTAGTCTGTAGATTTGTATGTAAATTTTACATATTTGAGAGGGGGAAATTCTACAATGAACAATATGGAGTTTTTAACTGTAATTAAAATAAACCTTTTCAATCTGAAATGAGCCCACATTTGACAATGCAATGGTACTCTTTATGCTCTTTAAGTTTGATATGACATACAGTACTGTCAGCAATTACTAGTGCAGACCACCTCTGCTTGGCTATGATACATTGCTGCGTGGGCTGTAGACAGTGCTGAGAGAGTGTTTGTTAATTACACTGACGATTGTTTAAATACTCTCAAAATTTTTCATAAAAGTTTATATGGAAAAAATGAATACTGATACAGATGTAATGTGATGGCTGTTTGGCCTATATTGGCCAGATAATGTTAGTTTACCAATATATTGGCTTAATGTACCACTTCTCTAACTTATCGATAGTCTAAAAGCACCCTGTGTAAAGTGCCCTACTCTGCTATTTTTACCTGATATCCTGGATAGGAGAGCGCCGGTCCCTTTTCTTGCCCCAGATTTTGAGCGAGGCTACCAGCAGGATGATGAACTCTCCATTCTTCATGCCGATGGCCACCATGTCTCCTTCAGGACTGTAACTGATGGTGCGCGCCGGGTGACCCAGGTTCACTTTATTTAGCATCTTCTGTTTCTCCACCATACGAGAAAAGCAACACACTGGTTAGTTACAATATAGAATCAGTATGAAAAAAAAAAATTGTGAAACTTTGATGTACTGGGAAGAACTGCAATGGTGGGGATAGGTAGACTAAACGGTGCTGACCTTCTCAGGGATGTCCCATAGACGAACAGTGCCGTCCTCTGCAGCAGACAGAAATACATCTCTGGAGGGATGGGTGCCCAGTCCCCAGATCGGTCCGTCCATGTGTCCGTTCACCAAGATGTTACACGCTGCATTTTTCTCTCCTACCTCAATGATCTCTGCATTTCTGGTCCCCACCAGGATTTTACCCTGACAAAGGAATGAGCGAAACATCTCAACATACAGCTGAAGTTTGAGAACAAACTGGACCTTTCATTGAGTGCAGCTTTAACTGTACCTTTCCTCTGCACACGGAGCGGACACAGTCAATGACCTGGCCAGTTTCTAAACGGAACGCTCGGCAGCGTTTTAGCTCCTGGTCCCAAAGCTTCAGGGCGCCACCCTCCTTTGACCTGTGTAAGAAAAACAGATGATTGTTTCCTCTCATTCTATGAAAATGAATTGTCTTAACTTCTTTTATACATTTCTTTCCAATTTTTAAAATCTTATTGGTAAAACATGAATAGGCTTATGATCACAAATACTGATGCTAGTAGCCAGAATTTGAACGTCAGGGTATTACAATACCTTATTCTAACCACATAACCCTTTTAATGACACGACTACATAATGTGAGCTTTCTTATTTGTAATATAGTTTAGGAACTGAGCAGCACTTACGGTCTTTCTTTGCCTCCAGTGACGATGAGGCCGTCTCTTAGTGTGGTGTACATGGTGAACACAGGGCCCGTATGAGCTTTGGCCACAATTCTTACTAGAACGTGCTCTTTCCACACACACACATCCCCACTTATGGTACCTGTAAATGTCAAGTTATTCTGAAAAGAAAACAAATCTGCACTAATCTAGTGGCCTAAAAGAGCAGAGCGAGCAAGGCAAGAACAATTCACAGCACATTTAAGCAGAAAGTTTGAGATATGATAAGTGAAAGTGAATCATGAAAATTAACATATATGATGAAGTTAAGAACAAGCACAATTCTGAAGAGCAAATGTAACATATTATCTGTCAGAATTAATAAGTTAGACACTGTACACTATATTAATTGGAAGTCACTTACAGCTCCAAATGCTACAGACAGCATGG